AACTCCACACACTTGAGAGGATATGAACGTATCCTGATTGATTATCAACCTCCACCACAAGTCGATAATCACTTGTCTCAGCATCTATACTCCCACCTATAGTCCTGTTTAGCTAGCGATGTGTAATAACTCGCACATGGTCCGAAAACAAAAACGCGCAAACATCTCGAGGCTTTTTCCATAAATGACAAGAATCGGGGAATGAATAACAATAAGGAATGACCAGAGATAACACGTGATATAGCTCCGTATCTCAGAACTGATTTTTGATGTGGGTGGTGCAATGATCAACCATATGCGACTATGAACGGCTGTTCTCCCTCTGTGGAAGGCAGGTAAAAAACGGTGTTTTTCGAGAAGCCGGTGACCGTGTAATTACCGTTCAAATTTTCATCTTTCTGCATATGCTGTTCAAGCGTTTTACCTAGTAAATTACATATTAGTGTACCCTTCAAGGCTCTGGAGAAGGCGATACTGCCGAAACGTCAGATACCGTTGTGTTCTATGTGCTCTATGTATACCGAAGTAAACGTGTGATGAATAACAACCTCGCAATTGCTGAAGAAGAGAACAACGCATTTATAATCCAATGCCGAGGTTAATAGAAAGTCGATCCTGGGAACTGTGATAACTCTTTTTTTTCTTGTCCTACTTGAGCATTCCATTGTAGACCATACTTTCCTCTGTTAGTGTTACACTTTATATTATCTTTGCGTATTGATCACATTATTACTTGCACTGTCTGTACCTCTCCATGTTCTTATTGTTGTATTGACATTATCTACATGAAACCTTAATTACCTAAGTTTGAGGCACGAATTTCTACACCGATAAAAACCTTGTGTTGCGTGCCAGAAGATAAGCATCCATATGCGATCTAACCAATAGTCTTTCTTTTGTACAATCTGTTCTCATACCTACTGCACGGATCTCCGCACTTTCTATACTTAATGCGTTCCCTGGCGTCAATGATCCAATAACGTCTTCGAACTTCTCTTATGTGGGTTCGGTTACTATATGAGCATTGTCGCCTTCTTCATCAATGTCGAGTCGACTCTCCCTCGAGCCTTAGAATAGCCAGAATAGCCATTTCCACAATGAATGCAAGGAGTCAACTGTTCGCGGACATGCCTGGTAGCAATTTGCCGACTCCGGAGGGATGAGAGGTTTGGTGAACCCGGAGCTGAATCGGACCAGCACCATGGCCCATTACCACTGCGTTACACGCCTTCTATACAGGAGATGTATTATGAGGAGTCTTGGAAACTCCCAATAAATGAGATTAAGCTTCAAGTTTATTAATGTTTCATTCCGAGTAGTCACAACTACACTCTCAGTAAGCCATATCTTGGAAGAAGCTCCAAAAAATGGAGGTGTATCAAATGTTACAGGGTACTAAAACTAAGTCAACACTCAAAATTTGCTACGGATATATTCTCCTCCTGCGTAGAGAAGACGACAAAACAATCATCTACATATCTGCAGTAGAGTAGTGGCCGGAGATCGAGAACAGGGGCTTCTATCTTAGACATAAACACAATGGCCAGTCGCTGTCCCATTGCCAACCCCCTTATTTGCGCGAAATATTTTATGAATGAATGAGATGAATATATTGGCGAAACGGGCAGACCTTTGTGTATCCGTATAAAAGAACACCTAGATGGCAAACGAAAACTAAGACGAAGCACCCCACTAGGCACGCATAGGATACAAAAGCATAGCGGAGACGATTTTGAAGTAAAAGTCAATATTCTTGCACAGGAGTCCAAAACACCAGCGTGAAAACTCCTAGAGGCTTTTTGGATCAATGCCAAAAACCCTACAATGAATAGCAGAGATGAATGCCCGGAGGTCATACGCGACCTGATCCCGTATGTTCGCATCGATTTTTGATGTGGGATGGTGCAGTCGTCAACCACATGCGACTATAATCAGCTGTTCTAAACTTCCTCATTGGAAGTCACGAAAAAGCGGTGGGTTTTTCGAGAAGTTGTTGATCGTGTAATTACCAAAGAGTCTTTCGTCCTTGTGTAAGTGTTATTGAAGCGTTTGGCCTAGTAGATTGCATATCAGTGTACCCTTCCAGGCTCTGTTGAAGGCGATACTGCCGAAACGTTAGCTAGCGTTGTATTGTATTGTGTTTTTATGGAAGTAAATGTATGCTGTTTAAAAACTTCGCGATTGCTGAACAAGAAAACGACACAATCATCAATACAGTCCTATGGAAGTAAGTGCTCGAATGAAGCCAAACTGTATATGGAAAACATTGATAAACACCTAGCCTCTTCACACACGTTATATTGGTGACTCTGAATAAACAGCCGTAGCACAATTTGTATACGCAAGTCGTTTCAGCGACTTCTAACCTTATTGCAGCAAAAAACACCCAAAGTGCTGAACTTGGAAGTTTAACTACAGCAGAGGAATTTCTACATCGTACGGAACGTCAATGGTCTCCTGATGGCCGCTCTCTTCACCCGCAGCGGTTTCTCTGTAGTGAACGTACAAAAAAGCAGTTCCTGCAAACTACTAAGTTGCTTTCCAGAACAGTTCTTCATGTCCGATTCCTGACAAACTGCGTAGTATAGTGTATTAATAAAATATAAAAAGTACAACAGAAAACTCTTGTACGGTAAAATAAATGTTCGAAAAGAAAACGGTTAGATATCAACCTATCCTGTTCCAATTGCCTCAGCCTCCCTTGTATTAGTGGGAATTCACTCACACCGGACAATAAACGCCAAGTGAGGTTGATTTCATGGAGAACCTACCTGCAACCAACTTCATCTTTTCTCTATGTATAGCTTCGATGAGCTATTAGGGATCATTCCACAGAGGTTGTTGACGTTGGGTTTTACTTGGTGCAACTCTGACACTTTGGCCGTCAGTTTATCTCAAGAATGGTGGTGGTCTATTTCAAGCACGGTAATGTTTGCGAAATCATTCCGTGGTCCAATATCATTACTTCGAGGACATTCTTCTAGCTATACGTCACTCGATGGTAGTAATGAATCATATGTATATTATATAGTAACTACGAATTTTGTCCATATAAAGAATATCGTAAGTGCCAGCAGTGAGGCCATGTGGCCTGTTTCTAGCTGCTGAATAAGATGTCCAACTCAACAAATCAGTTCCTTGGTCCAGCGTTGCTGAAGTGACTTATTGGTTTGGTTACCAAATAATGCCTACGGACAGTAGTGCACTCACGTATGCAAGTCTTATATTTTTTTAGATATAAGTATACACAGGTAAGTTGAACGACTTACAAGTTAAAATACTCACTCACCAGAAAGAAAGAAACAAAGTAGGGACCAAAGCAGCTGAACGCTCTGCACGATGATCGCACTGGAGATTGTCGTACAAGCCACCCCATGATTGACACTGTTATATTAAAGGATAGAACGATAAAGCTCCCAGCGTTGGTCAACCTCCGAAGGTTGCGCCATGCATCCGACTTCATTAAACATCGTTAGAGGTGATTGAATACATTTCTGGCTTTTACAATGACTCGAGTTGGCCTACCGATGTATCGGGCCAGCGCTGCTGTCTTCCCAGACAAGTTTGGTCCCAATTTGCAGACCCCGGAGGGATGTAGGGTTTGGTGGACCTGGACGCGGTGCATTGTTTGGCCCTTCCGATCACCGCGATACAAGTGCCCCTGACACTTTTATAGCTAATAAAATGCTTACCAAAAATATGTACAACAAATGCATAAGAATAGGAATTGCTGTTGGATGAGATATCTGAAACAAAACAATAGTTCCATCTCCTCAACCTCGTTTCGAATGATCGTGAATTATTTTAGCAAACATAGTTCTGTAACCTAATGAACTTTCTAAACTTTATATTAGAATAATACGAAAGCTTTTTCGTACAATGCTTCCACATATACATAGAAACGGATCCTTTAATGGAAACTGCCTATGGATCCATAGAATCCCGAATCAATAGAATGAATCACAAACAAACTGGCGTTACTATGGCTTTCATTGTTAAAAAGCATCGTAACGAGGAAACCCGTCTACGTTATCTACAAACATGAAAACTCCCATAACTTTTCCTAGCGTAAGAGATAGTAATAGAAGAAATACACGGGAAGCACTTTAGGGAGCTGAGCAACGAACAGACAATGACAGTCTGCTAATAGCAGGATTTTGAATAAACACGAGAAAAACCTATGCACATGTCACCTAGCTGAAAGAACTTGTCAACTATATAATGATGGTTGATATCAGAAAACAACAAAACGAGTACTAGAACGAGCTCAACTTTCAGAAGGCTAGCGTCACGGTTATTCGAAAGAAAACATCTGAACCCCAAAAAAAAATATGGCTCTATGAAATACTGCCTACCCATAATTATCAAGCTAATCTTTGGCAACAATTTAAAACTGAAGATATTTCAAAATCACTTAAATTATAGGAAATTCATAAGTTCATGACTAATTTCAACCCGGATACCATTGAGTGGTGAAAAACCGGGAATAGGAAAATTATGTTAAAACAACTGAAAAGTATAAAAGACAGCAAACAAGCGACGGAATGGAGCGAAAACAAGTTTCTGAACGGTAACAAAAACTATAACCCCAACCCGTTCAACTATTCCTAATTTCTAAACAAACATTTTGCCTTCTTAGGTACAAGAACGACAAGAACAAAGAACAGAACTGTTGGCACTTTCATCCTAACTTCTAATCCAGTAAGATAAAACCCTTTCTAAAAATATTTGAATATCATGAAAACGCAAAGATGTCCGGAGGAAGAAAAAAGTAAGCATATAATAAATGCAAGTTCACAAACGAGTTGATTGAATTGTTCAACTTAACATCACCAGAATTTGAGGAGTATCCTTGCAACCAACTATTTTCGTTTTACTAAAGGTGTTGTCAAGAAACAATACTAAGGAACTGTAGAGAAAAACTAATTTGCCACAGTAATCACTTATACCCGGATCAAAGGTAAATGTTGTGCTCTATATTTAGAAACTTTGGTTCTTCTCTAGCTTGCAGAAGCTGAAGGGTCATCGTCATCATACGATCGCTCACCGGCGTGACCGAGCATTTGCTCTCCTCTTGGATCCATTTCTGTTGCCCAACTGTAGTTTAGTAAGGCCAGATGGTTATTGCCTAACCGACGATGGACCTTCCCTTAAATGAACGAGTCTATAATATGAATATACTGAATGGCTGAACTTTTAAAAGAAAATATTCGCTGTGGTTATTATTAATGTTTCACACGGCCACAAACCAAATATTGTGCGGTCCACAGCACTTTTCGCATTCTATTCGGTCCCTCGTTCCCCATATCTCACGAGGGCCTTCAATCTTTGTACGTGGTTTCGCCAACTGTTTGATCTGTCTTTTGAATGTCTTCAAAAGCTGGATCGGGTCGATTCTACATGGAAACCTGGATTAGCCGTGCCAGTGCGCTAGCATGTTTTGTCACAAGCAGTCGCCAGCTTTCGTGGATTGGAAGGAGTGAGTTGATCCCAGACAAGTTCGGCAACAATTTCGCGGTCCTGGTGGGATGGCAGATTGTTGATCCGTGGATAGCACTGAACCAGGCCCTTCCGTGCGGTGAACTCAGATTGAATAAGAAAAATGTACCTAATAGGTGGTATATATACGCTTCATCAGGTGAAACTTCTTTAAGCTCATTGAGTTCTTTGACGCATTCCTCGTTCCGTTTAATATCGAAAAGCAAGCGCGCACGATTGTAACGACAAGCAACGTCATCGGAATCTAATGCCAACGCCTAAATTTGCAAAAAGTTAATGCCTTCGAAGTGGCTCTCCAATAATTGTTCGAACCCTTTCAATTAAACGCATAGCTCTCTCTGGTCGATTCAAAGCTTGTTCAATTTGTGCCAGTTGACAAAGTATGGCTCGATTGGTGGGATTTATTGTGACGGCTTTCGAAATGTTCACCTAAATTGAGTACGAATGATAACGAAGCAAAGGAGCAAGAGTATGCTGTAGTTTTACGATACACGTTTACTCACTATAAGGACAAACTAGAACTACGCGGCAAAGTTCACCCTTACTGTAAAGTTTATAAAACAGACAGAGCACAACAACCGTCTTGTATTGAAGGGCATTGCAGAGTGAGATTACTTCATTGGAGCGATGTTCAATAAAGAAAAGAAAAAGAAAAAAGCGATCATGAAGAACCACATAGAAGAAAGAACAACTGTGGACAATCGAATCTGATCAATTGGGCTTTGAAGAAGGAAAAGGCGCCGAAATGTTAGCCGAATAAGGCTTTTTTAAAATCAAGCTTAGGTTAGCTTGTCAGTGAAAGGATACATGCTGATTAGACAAAGAATAATTGAGAAAGAAAATAAGCAAAAGGCATAATTAATGAGTTAGGAAGCTGCAAGATTATTAAGTCAAGAATTAGATGAATAGGTATAGCATTAAAATCCACCACATGGCTGGACTACCACAGTTAATGCATCGCTTACACAATTTGTAATTTCACGTAAAATCCCCATCCTTCTTAGCGCATGTCGGAGTTACTTCGAGACTAAGCTTATACGAGGGACGCGTACGCTTTCACACTTTTTGTACGCCTTCATTTTTCGGTGGTGAAAAAAGCGTTCCCTAAACAGAAAGAATATTCATAAACTACCTGGGCAAGACCCATTTGCTCTTTCCTGAGATGCACCAATCCAAGGCCATGCCAAGCGCGGTAATCCTTCGGAGAAATTTCCAAGGCACGTCTAAATTTGCGAAAAGTGATAGGAAGGTAAAATGCTATGAGGACAGAATCTATGCTTGAAAAAATATACCTAAACGCAATAGACGCACGGTCATATTCCTCTTGGAATATAAGTTCATGACCCAACAGAGTGTATGCGTATGCAAAATATGGATCTAGTTGGATAGCACGTTCCATACACTCGATAGCTCTTGCATGCTGAGAAAACGAAAGCTTAAAGCATTCGTCCATATAAAGCTATACCAAAAATATTTACCTGTCTTTGAAGAGAAAAGCAATTCCCAGCAACGCACCAGGTTTGTGGTCGTGACCGCGCATCTGTGGTTAGCTGCTGCGCAAGCGATGAAAGCTCGTGAGCATCTTGTAAATGCCACAAAGCTGTCGACAACAACTCCATTCCCTTAAAATATCGCACAGCTGATTGAATTTGTAAAGAAAAAAAAATGTTTACCTCAGTTCGATGTGGGTACATTTTCCTCAACCTTTGCAGAATATCTCTTGCGCAAGTATACTCAGTTAGTTCGAAGGATATGCGCGCACGCATATGGAGAACCACCGGTAAGTCAGCCATCCATGGTGGGACAAGATCTGATTGTGCGAAAAGTGCATACTAAGAGATCGAGTTGAACTGGTGAGAACTCATACCCAGTATTTTTTTTGCGACATCCCATTGGTAAGATCCAATTGCATCTTCAACAAGGGCGAATGACTTAACACTTAGAAACAAATCCTCTGAAAGGAGAGAAGTTTAATGAACGTAGATGAAGCAAACAGAAAAGACCCGAAAAGAGTAGATAAGTCCTAAGTCTAACATCTCATAATTGCACCTCTGAGAATAGTAATAATTAATAGTTGTCAGCCTTACTATAAGCAAGGCTATGCTCCTCGCGCAAGTCGTCCTGGTTTGTGTTCGACGATGACGCGTAGGTGGTTTCAGACGTGATCAGTGTTGCCGACGATGTTACGCATCGAATATTGCCACTGTTTGATCGCAAAGGCTGTTTTACCGCTGAATCACTACGTTGCTTTCTAAAAACAAAGCCAATTCCAAGACGACATAATATGACGTATTCGTTAAGAAATTAAGCGCTAGGAATACCTCGATGAAGGAGAACGCTCCGTCCGAGATATTTCACCCACTGGACTCATTTCATTTATCCTCGTTATTGCTCGCAAACTATGTTGCTATAAAGCTGGCATATAAAAGCAGGTAATCTTGATACAAAATTTATCGACGACAAATCTTTTCTCAAGAAATAGAACCTACTTGACGAAGCTTGTTCAACCGTATTGGTATTGTGCGATTACGACCTCCCGCATTCTCAGAATCCTGATTCTGGTTACATAATCTCGCTTTTCTAATTTCACAGGCCTAAATCTCCAGTTTTGAACTGACCATAAAAATAGTTCAGTATCCAAAATTGCTTTACAATTTCAGAGAAAAAGGAATTAAGACAGAAAACTGTATATGTGGACATTTTTCACTGGGCCTGTGAAATATATGCATATGAAACTTTTTCGTGAATTTCACGACAGCTCCACATCTTTCAGACCGATTAAGTAACATAAAATTTTGACGATGTGGGATGTAATTGCCATAACCGACTCACTATCAACCTGTTTGTGTTATTAAATCGTTTGGTGTAATAAATTGCATACTAATATACCCTTCTAGGCTCTGAAGAAGGCTCTACTGCCGAAACGTCAGCTTTACTGGAATAAAGTAACAACTCGTGTTTGCTCAACAAGAATACCGAGAATATGGAATGTACCTAACATACTTGGTAACATAATTGGAGGCACACCGTGGCTAAATCGTAGGCATCATGCGCATATTTTGAACAAATTGGTTAAGCAACGTGATTGTGAAGGCCAGAAGATGTACTAGAGGTGGATTTTTTCCAAATGGAAGTCACGTAAGGCGATGAGCTTCATATTTAATAGAAGCGCTTGACAATAAATCTGTACGAGATCAGAGTCCTGACAGTTGCCTCTAATACGTTCTTGAAAATAAAAACACTAACACTCGATACGTTTGGCTCTGTTCTTGTCTACTCATCGAACGCACCTCACCTGAGCAGCTCTGTTGCGCGAAAGGAATGAAGAGAATTTACTGGGGCATGCTGGAGTTAATCGATGATTACGGATGATACATAATGATCGATGAGTACGGGTGATATATGTAAATACAACACCAAGCTTTGAGAAAGACGTGATCGAATCATACCTTTAAGAAATTAGTGGCGTCTTCAAGCTCATGATTCGCCCAAGTGGAATGTCTGAAGAACTTCACAATGAGGCTCATGGGTTGGAGTGAAACGTATACAGTTTAAGCGGGGTTTATCACGATCATAAAGAGCACTCGTGGTAACTTATAGTTTCAGGAAGCTTTTGTCGAGCGTGAATGTAGAAGACTACCACGATGGATTACCATAAAGATCAGAAAACAGAGTAAGTCGAAAATCTTCCCTAACTAATATCACTGCTGTTTCAAATGTTTTGCATTGGATTACGTCATCACCTCTCCGTCGGCCAAGATTTTCTTTTGGAAAACGTAGTGTTCGAGAAAGAAACCGCAGTACTATAGACATCCCAAAACCATTTAAGATTGAATTTACTTCTGAGATGACAGCGCTATCAATTGATGAAGAGTACAACCAGCCTACTAAACAGATTCACGACTGTGCTAAAAAAATTAGAGAGTTTGCAAAGCACTGAGACGTGCGGAGAATTTCAAATGACGCGCTAATGTGGACTCTCAACAGTTACAAAAAAACCACTCTTCGCTCTCATCAATAAAGGTCTCAAAGAAACCGTAAAATAAGATCCCAGTAAAAAAAGTAACAATACTGGTTAAATTTAAGACTGGAAAGATCTTGCGCCACACCAGACTTCGCCAACAATAAACCCCCCGTCTAAGCAGAAAGGTGAATACGTAAGAAGGAAAGTTAACAAACTTGCAAACAAATTATGTTCCGGAACGTTTAACAACTCAAACTTCTACCATACAAATCGCAGAGGACGAATGCGTCGTCAGACGAATGCGTCGTCACTATGATTCCCTTACGTAAGACGACCTGTTCTTAGGTACGTGAGGAACAACACGGCATTTAGCATGTACAGGAATAAATCAGATAGTCCAAAGAAATTACCACCTGTTCCTATCAAAACGCTAGCCCAGAGTGATATTTCGCAAAAATGGGATCCACACAACATCGGTAACTACCGCTCAATCTGCTTGCTATCTGTCACCTACAAGCGATTTCCTTGAACTGTCCTAAATAAGGGCAGGACACCAAAGCGACTAATCAGGACCTTAAAAACGATTCATTACGATGGATCACATCCACACAACAAAGAAATTCATTGACGCATCGCGAGAACAAAAGAGACCGTTCTGTTTCACGTTCATAAGCTTAACAGCATTTCTGGCTCCATTCAAACAGAAACGTTCACGAAAGCTCTGAATTGCCAAGGCGCAGCTGGTCAATGCGTAAAGATTCTTAACGAACAATATAAGAACTTCAAAACCAGAGCCGCGCCGATCTACAACATCTGCCACTGAAGTGATGAGAGAGATTTGACAAGGCGATACCAAGACCATCTGCGGTGACCCTCGAGAAATTCGAAACAAAACTGGAAATGGATAATATGGAAGTGAAATTCCATAACAAGCAGTTTCCCCAGCTTCGACCTACGATATCTTTGTATAATACCAAGCCTTATAATACAACTGAATGAATGGTGGAATTCTGACCGTGCTTGCAGAAAAGTTAATGTTCTGCTGGATGTCAAGAAAAAAGTTGCCCACTAGTGACAAAACCATTTCACATGGTTTGAACGCGCCTAACAGAATTAATATCTCCATATATTCCAACTATTTGTATCTGGGTGAAGAGGTTGATATGATTAAAAACTTTGCTTCAGGGAAAGGAAAGAGGAAACGAGCAGGTGAGAATCAAATGAGAACATCGAGGAGTAATTGCAGTGAAAAAGACAAAAACGAAAGTGATAGTCTTCGACACTTCAATAACCATCCTGCGTTAACGTACGTGACCGAATTTGATGGCTACCTGATCATCATTTCTTAGCATTACTGAACATGTTTCCGAAAAGATAAAGGTAGCATTGTTTCGTACCGAGAAAGAGAGCAGAAATCGGAAATCTGGACCTACGTCGAAGACCAGAAATAGGAGACACCGATATGCCAAGGCATCGAAAATCAAACGGATTCATCCATATGCTGCGTCTTAACTAGTGAACAAGATTTGTTATCGATTACGTCTCAAGGAATTTCTATCGCCCAGCAAGAAGATCACCGACCCAATGGTAATGGTGCACCATATAAAACCTAAAAGAATGTTCTTTTTGAGTACACTCAGTGAACAAAACTCACCAAACAACTATTACACATGGCAGCAACAAATAAAGGAATTACTAGCGCCCACTCGAATTATTCCACAGTTAAGACGAGCAAAATTGACTCGTGATACAGTCAAGTTGTATAAGGATGAACCAATTCAGAGTTCAAAGTCCTCCATAACCTGATTTTCAATCCCTGGTTGCATTAATACTACTTTTATCAATACTTACATTTCCCCAGAGTTCTTAGAATTCCACTTTTACTCGTTGTTCTTCCACTTTCAACACACCACAAAGCAGAACTTTCAAAGGTACAAGTTTTGGGGAAAAAAGTCCAAATCCTCACTTCATGAATTCGAGAACTTTTACGTGGAGCATTCACAGGAGATTGTGGAGTCGGCATGTTTGTTGTAGGAGTTATATGGCTGGGCTCAGGAGAATCCCCCTCATTCACTTGGTCGACCGCAGATTTTGCATGCTCACTAAAAATAATGTATCTCTACAAGTGACGGTCGCGGATAGAAGTTAACAAACTAAAAAGTAATGCTCACACAATTAAATCATCTTGAGAAGATGTTGGCGTGGAGCAAGGGAAAAGTTTGTCCGTTGTCTCACGAAAAAGATCAGCCATTGAATGATCATCGAATTGAACAATTTTACAAATTGAGGACCATAAGAAATTGTTTTTTCGTATTGCATATTCACTCTCTTTGGCTGCTGCGACATATCTTCCAGATAAGCTAAATTTAAACAATACAACCGCAAGTCAATGAGATAAGATTAGAGAAAAAAAATTTAAGAAAAAAAGCGGGAATAAACAATAGAAAGAGGAAATGATCAAGTCCGATTAGGATAACAACAGACTAATCAAATAGTTGCAGGTTATCCAGTGGAAGGTAAATAGTGACTTTATAAGTGGAAAGTAACGGAGTGCAATAGTTAGACCCACTACCTCAGCTAACCTATAAATGCAACACGTCGAAATTACGATCCGTCCTTCTGTAGTTAGCAAATTGCCCACTTGCTATTACTGCCAACTTTTCTAACATCGGATATAGCGTGTGGGTTCAGCCTTTGCTTTGGTATTTTTCGTCTCTCAATATCGTTGAATGCTGGTGGAGTCGACACTCTCTGGAATCCTGATAGTGGTACAGCACTGTTTGACCTTCACCACAGGTGAAGACATCGATGATGATGGATGAGACGAATAGAATGGAAGAAATGTTGGGCTCCGTAAAATAAATGAAGACTGGCTACATAAATAAATAAAAAGTAATATTGCTGTTGTCAGCACTTCTAGTGTCCTTTGCCAGTTGTTTCGTATTTATTTAATTTTACATGACCCGTCATCACACCTACAGATTTCAGCTTCTTACATTCGATTCGCCTTCGTCGTACTCATCGTTCACAAAGGTCTCCGAATATGTTTCGTGCTATTTTGGCACCTAATTGACGATTTCGTCTGTTCTATGAATGTTGAAGAAAGCTGGCCGAGTTCTCCAGGTGCCCTTGCACTCTTGAGGATGGCTGGGCTAAAGCATTACCACATAAACTGGAGCAGGCCGTTGCAGCAGGGATCGAACTACACCCTTTGCTCTCTGATCGATAGCACCACTAACTACCGCACTATCCCCGCCCACTTTTAACCACTAGTGCTGTTTTCATCAGACTTCTATTATTATGAAGCAAAATCCCCAAAGACTAAAAACTTCCGAAACAATTCACCATACTGAACACTCACCATAGAATAGTTGACAGAAGAGAATGTGCAAACGCCTCAGATGGAGTACCAATGAATACATCGTGAAGTTTAGCTTCGGGACTCTTCTCAGTTAAGACACGGAAGCATTCATCATTCCTTAAGTTAGCATAATGAATACGGACGAGGATTGGGGAACGACTCACTTTTCCAAATCGAAGCAACATTTGGCAAAGAGGTAGCGTAGCCTGGCGTTTGTAAGCGCATGACACCGGAGTATGTTGTACACTTCATATCTTCTATTCAGACGCAGTAAGCAATCACAGTATAGCAGAAGTGACCGAGTGGATTTCACTGAAAAGTCATCAACATGAAATCAAAACGTTGACAAATCTTCCTTTGACATGCTTGTACTTCAACTCTTCACCATAGTTCCTTTAGTACTAGCATTTCCAATCATTTAGCATTTCCTAGTGTTGTTTAGTACCTTCTCTGTTTGATTATGGAGGTGTTTGGTTGGGTAAATTGCGGTCAACTTCACCTTTTCAGGCTCTGAGGAAGGCGAAGTCGGCGGAAACGTCAGCTTGTGCGTAAATAAATAAATGAAGTAACACCTTGTGTTTGCTTAACAAGAATATGAAGAATTGTTCAATCAACGCCTAGGTTAAGAAAAACTCGGCCGTGGGAGTTACTTCGCTATAGTGCTGAACCACCCTATACTTCTAGTGTAGCCCACTATAGTCATATCCCACTTAGGAGAACATCAGCTTCCTGAACCGTAGCCCACAATCAAAGATATTCAAAACTGCATCAACATGGCGGTTCATCGTCGAATGATTAACAACGGTCCTGTGGTCCTTGTGGTCCTTAACGACTTTAATGGAACGTACAGAGAATGCCTTTAATCGGCGATAAACAGGACACAGAGTCTTCTGAAAAACAATTCTAGTCTTACCTCTTATGTAATTCAATTCGGCCAAGAAGACGGCGTCTTCAAGACTGCAATGGTCGAGAAAACTTCGAATGAGATCCTGCAATACTCCCAGGTGAATCATGGTCAACAAGGTGATTTCCGCCGTATAGAACGGCTACTGAACGTCACCTCAGTGTCGTCAGAAGATTGTCTTGCTGGATCAATGGAACCCATATTTGTACTGATTTCTCTTTAAGTGTCGAAACCTAGAACAACCGGGAGATCTTTGACCATATAAAAAATAAAAAACGAGCAGTACATACAACATAAAGCTAGGTCATAAGACTGCAACAGTTCTAAGCACTAACATCTACAATTCACAGCAACAAGGACCTCGCAGAATGACCTGAGACACCGTCCGGTACTGCCACTCAGAAATGACTATTGGCAAGAGTCCAACTGCAGGTGTACTGTACATCCATTCCGCGAAGGAGACCTCAGCTGACCGCAATCGATAGCGGCGAGAGAGTACGGCAGTGGAGGATACGAAGAGAGACAGAGTGCATATAAGGACGGCGGGTGTGCGCTGCGCATCAGTTCGCGTTGGTCGCTCTTCTGTCTCGTCGCTGAACTTTCTCGCCGTCTACGACATGTTGTCCAATAAGTCCAGTAATATCCATAGTACCAGCTCTATCGTGTAAGTGGCACTTGTCATTTAAGTCAGGAGCTTCTTGGAAGTCAGAAAAATCCAAGGGTTTGTGCATTCCTTTCAGCTCTAAACACAACGGTAGTGCGGTCGGATGGTGTTTTTGACATCCCTTCATGTATAGCAAATCGCACTGATGATGTGAGTTCAGGTTGAACACTGTTTCATTAAAAATTACAAAGCAAACTGGTTAAGTACATAGCTCGTCGATGCCGAACAGTACTGCAGTTGGGCTCTGGTTATCGAATAGGTCATATCCCTAAATTTTAAGGCTAAATTAGGTGGTAGCTTGCACGAAGGTTGGTAAGATAACTATGATACAAGATGACATATTAGTGACGTCCTAATTGCAAATATCTGAGAACTTACTACTGTATGCTTGAATCAGGTAACAAGCCGGGTGTGCGCTGTGGCAAAGGACTGGCGTTGGGCGATGGTGGACTCGAAGTCGTTCGCTGTCATTATACCCGTAGAACAAGACCCAAAAAGTATTTCGAGAGAGCGTTTCGTCTCTTTGCTAGAGTACTGTGAAGAAGAGCTTGGTGTGTCCGACCTAGATTAATGGTAATGATATGTTCTGTGGAAATACCGACGACTCTTTTCAGGAGTGGAACGAGTGCTAGCAGTGTTTGAAAGACCAGGATTATCCATGTCCGAGGGCTTTCCACGAACACTTCGGTATATCGGTTTCAGAGTGCTTCCACCGGACAGCGTTCCAACACCATTGTCGTCTGACAAGTTCTTTGTAATGAGTTATGCTGTCTAATGCCATTTCATCCACGCCTGTCCTTTTTTAGTCAGCCCGATTTGTCATTGCATCTCGTGTCCCTTAACCATCTACTAATGTGTCTATGTCTGTGCTACATGTATGTTTGTTCCTAGCTGTGGTCAGTTATCGTGTACAGTGTGGGGAATAAATACGATGTAATGTTTTTATTCCATGAAATGCCTCAATACAGAAGTAATAAGAAGTTTCTCGATGAACACGTCGTTCTCAACAGCAGCGACATGTGCTGGAAATAAAGGAGGTTAGATGTACTGGATCAAATATGTGTACAAATATTGCTGTTATGTCTAATTTGAGGTGTTATCTACCGAGTTAAGGACTTGTGATTAACAACTTCCAAGTCCGTATGAAACACGCAAGGAGTAGGCATCATGGTTGATGTTTAACAGACTCGAAAGCAAGTTCTTACGCAAACAAGTTCGGCTTTAGAGATCAGACGAAGATACCTTAAGTACTAATGGACGTCATCATTCGGAATAAAGTTACGATGTATGGTTTTTGCCTGGGAATCATTCATGATTCGTTCACCTTCACGTTCAATACTTTATTTTGGACAGCGAGGCTACTCACAAACAGGTTTTGTTCCCACCAGTGAGCGTTTTCATTCAGAATAAAGTCATGGCGTGAATTTTTTGCTTGGGAATGATCCACTCTTTTTCTTAAGACCGGTGCCTCACTTTGAACAGCGAAGCGATCCACAGACCGGTTTTGGTCCAGCGAAACGCCATAATGCATTGTTTTGTTTGCGACTACTGCGATTGCGTTAAGAATTCAAATACATGGATGTTTCGTTCTCGAACCTTTCATGATTTTGAATCTTGAGGAATTCTAGAATAGAAAGCATTAGAGAGCTCATTTTCCTCGGTAAAGTCGAATAAAAGTCCTTTACCAACCTCGTGTAAGCTCAACAATTTAAAACATGTTGACTAAGAGAGGTCAGTCTAGTTTTCTCATACTGATTGATTGTTTATTGATAATGAATATATTAGATTCAGCTAGCTAAGAACCGGTGGTAGGCTGTTTGTGCTAACAATGGGTTCACAGTGTTTACAGTTACAGAGTTTTCAGACACTGGGTTGGCTAAATTTGTAAAAGCCTTGTAATTATATTTCGGTAAGGCAGGGTGAAGCTCATTAGGTGCTTTTTGTTTAACTTTGGGCTTAGAAAACTATGTGCGACTCTTTTCCTAACATGACGAAGACAGGAGTTCTATTGAGATCGTATCCATTTCAGCCCAGGATGTGGTTTTTCTGTAGTGTGCTGTTTATCTATTTATATGTATAAGCTACAAAGAACAACAGAGATTGGTTGATTCCATGTTATTCTAAAGTAAGTAAACCAGGTTTTACCAAGTAGGAATGTTCTCACCTGCTCTACCTGTAAATCTATTCGCAAGAGCGGATGAAATGGGCTGGAAAGCTGAGTAGCGTACAACCACAGTAGTTCGATCACTAGACAACATTTCGTTGTGCACATTAGAAAGCATTTCCCTGAAATTTCACCGATTCGTGCTCTTGTATCTCTTCTCTTTACAAGGATCGGAAATTTGTCCATGAAGACAATTGTATTCTTTCCTGAACGAAGTACGCCCATAGTGTTTGAATCTTTGCCATAAGCAGGTTTGAATGTTCGCAGCTGAATAAAACAACGAGGAAAGGATGCTCCGATTTTACTCTGTTAGAAATTATCAGTAAAGGAAAACATCTACCGGAAGTATGACAGAAGAACATGGAAATCGGGGCAGTGTACAGATCAAGTTCGTATTAACTGACTTCCTCTTCCCGGTTACCCATATACCGACAACTTTCACGAGAACACGAAAAGGTGAAGTAAAGAAGAAATCTGTACCTTACGCATGGCTTCTCAATTCGGCTTTCTATCTTACTAGCATGTCCCTAATTGGTACGGTATAATTACTAAAAAGAGAGTTCAAAGGTTAGAGTAATTAAATCGACACTCTGCATATCAATTAACCTTGGTAGTCGACGGAAGCCTTACCACCGGTGACCAACAACACCATAAAGAATAAAAGATGAAGTCTTCGGTGTTGATCAATCCTTGAAGGATGTGCCATGCATTCGACTTCATTAAACATCATTGGAGGTGATTCAATGCATATCTGGCCTTTACAATGACCCGCGGTGGCCTACCGATGTATCGGGCCAATGCTGCTATCCTCCCAGACAAGTCTGGTTCCAATTTGGCGACCCAGAAGGATGAAGAACTTGGTGAGGGCATGAGGCGCGGTGATCGATCCCATGTGTATTGTACGGCACCTCCGACCACAGCTCTACATGCGCCCCAAAACGCGATATGAGGAACAATGTCATAGCAACAAAAAAATGGATAAATCAGGAAAATATCACTACGAAAATATGCAGAACAGAAGCACAAGCATCCAGCGACAACATTCCCGACTGTATAATTTCACAACAAAAAAAAAAATCGATGTTTCCATTATTCGAGTCATTGGTTCGCCGTATGCGTATCTGAAAATTATCCGACTTGTTAGCATTGGACAACTTTCATTTCAAAATGAACCAGCTTTCATATTCATCGTGTAAGTCCAGAAATCGATTTTTTTTTTTGCTTTACCATCTCTCAAGATCACTAATTATCGAAAGATTACCGTTATTGGTTCAGTGTACGTTACGACCCAATAAAATGGCCTGACCCAATTGGATCTAAACTATTCCTATTTGAATTTCGGAAATTAAAAAATCTTCCTATATGACGTACGGAAATAGTACGGTAATTTGACAACTTGTAGCGTCAAACCAAGGGATTGTAGTCACTGGCCACAGAGAAATATTCATCACTGACATTTTTGGATCTCCGATACTGGTCCGAAGTTCTACTTTCGATTAGAAATTCTCATCTCATGAAAAAACATTCTACTTCTGAATACTTCAGCAGCACATTGCATTCTTACTCCCCTTATGAGATGATATCAAGCAAAAAGGTTTTTAGGTATTTAGTTTTTCTATTTATTTTATTTTCTTTAACCTGTCCTCACGTCTACTGTGTGGATCTCAGCACTTCTCACTTTCGTTTCCTCGCATTCATTGTCCACGAAGATCTTCCAACTTTTACGTGTGGCTTCGGTTGCTGCTTGACGATTTTCATTTCATGTAGAATGCTGGTCGAGCAATTTTCCCTGGAGTCCTGAGATAGCCGGGCTGGAGCGTTCCCAATTGGATTGCAAAAACTAGTCTTTTTTTCCCAGGCAACTCCGGCACAAATTTCCCGACTCTGGAGGGACGACAGGTTTGGTTGGTCTGGAGCGGAATCGAAATAGCACCATGCTCGTGATTACGGACATCACTACCACTGTGCTATCGACCCCCTAGATAGTTAGTTACAATATGTATTGATTCATCACTCCATGCGGTCTGGAAAATTAAAAACTTATTTTCTACAGTTATTACACTAACCATTACTCTAATGTTATTGCATTTTCAAAGTCATCATTTCTCAGTTGTACGATGAAGTGCCGCATGGCAGAGTCACTATTTGGTGCGTACTAAGTAAATACTCAAGAGATACCTAAGGTTTATTGGTTAAGAAGCACTTTAGAGGACTTGTCTTCTTTTTTGATTAACACAGTGAGCTGGTTAGGCAAGGTTTTCGGGGCAATAACAGGAAAGACGTGCTAGAATGCGACCGTGCCTTCGTCGGAAGCAGTAAACAGCTCTTACATGGAGAGAGGTTTGCTCCACTACGACTCTTTTTCTGCGTCAACCGTGGTAGACTGGGAGTAAGCCAGACCTCTCATAGTATTGCAAATCAAACCAAACGGAACACTATGGCAACGGCCTGGAGGTTTTAACAGCCTTGCCACACTCCTGCTATTCCATAGTTCTGTAACTGGATCAGGAAATAAAATCCTTTACTTTTACCTAAACATTTTACGCTTTAGAGCTAAGAACACTTTATAGTTTTATGGATAAATTCTCCCTTCGAGACGTGTTTTTTACGGAATTTACGGCACAATATGTAGTTTTTGCTACATTTTTAGAGTGCTTGTTATTGTTCGCAGTGTACTTCGGGCGTGTAAAATTTATGTGTCCAAGGAAAAGACCATAACCTTTACATATGCAACATTTATCGGATTCAGCTTAAGGATATACCACTCTACGAAGCAGACGCAGAACAGTGGCTTATACGTAGACAATACCTCGCGGAAATCTAGCTGCTAGTCAGCAAACTGCAGTCACTCAAATGAGTTAAGGTGGGAAGTATCTATACCTTCAAGAAGCTTTAGGCATTCTGTGACTAACCCTCTTTAGAATGGATCTGTGCACAAAAAGGTGACAGCACCGTAAGGGTGCGTGTAGCGCAGTGGTTAGAGGTACGTGCAATACATGCTGGGTCGACTTCTGGTTCGATCTCGTGTCTCGGTTGGGTTCTTCTAGTTTTATACCCTTTCGCGATCGACAAATGCTACAAAACATGTCTTAGATAGGAATAGTGACTTGATACATCGAAAGGTCACCGCAAGTCATTACACAAACCAAATGTGCATCCAACCTACCTCGACGATACTTGGTGCACTCAGGAATGCATGGTGCATCAATCAAGGATTGATTAATGTCGAACACTTTTTTATACGCTTTAACCTAACCATTCTCGGCGATTACTACCCATAGGAATATCGTGAGCTCTGGTCTGGAGGTTGTCCACAATCACGTGTAACTTGACTGGCTTTTGAGAATGGACAAGCTTATTTGCTAGAAGCATCTTCTAACAAAGTCACACTTGATTGCTAGCTTTTGGCTGGATCGAAATGCAAGAAAGAAACCGGATATTCGCAGTCATACTCACACTTTCACGTATGGGGATATTTCTAGGTACATACTGTGGGTACATGTAAATCTGACACTGAAAACGCAGCGGTTCATACCCTAAACCACAAGTCACCTCCAACAGAACTGACAAAACAGTGGAGACAGCTATGCAGGTGTGCAAGGATTCGAAAACGATTCAGCCAAATATTGCTTGCCTGTGCGAGAGCGAAACTCGAAGTATTATGAGATCACAAAAACCCGCTGTACCACACTATTATCGACTTTCGACGAAGCTTTTCGAATCAGTGACAGAAGCTCTGAACAACTACGGCATCTTCACTAGAAGATGAAGATCCTTGATGATGTAGCAATTTCATAATAAAAATTTTACCACACGGACATTACCATTGACGTAATGAGAGAGGTTCGACAAGGCTACAACATCGCGGTTTCTTTTGAAACAAAATGGATTTCGCAATGAATACCTATATGCTCGCAAAAGGCTGCTCATTGGCGTTGAACCTCCACGTTCCGTTCGTATCTACGTCAAAGATCACAGACGTGAACGTATACGCCAAGAAAAAATATGTCGAAAATCAGAGCGGAGGACACGTACTACGTTTTAACGACAACTAGTGGGACACGAGCCACTTGCGACTTTGTGCTATTGATGCCAACCGCAAGCAGGTGGACCACCAACTCAATGCTCAGACTTTTCCACGAAGATTCTAGAAGGAAATTATGGTCCTCTCGCCATAATATAGTCACTAGAGCGAAGAGAACCCACGATCTACTCTTGCACGGGACAGAAATAAACCGAGACACTATTGGCACACTCGAGTATGTCAATGAGTTAATATATCACTAACTGAAGTATCAGAATCCGTTAAGTTCATGCAGTTGTCTATGGGAAATTATGCGTTAACTATGACTAGAACCTGAATTCGCGCAGGCAGAAAGGGAACAAAAATGCTTCCCGACATGGTAAATTGCAAATTTTCTATTCGTTATGCTAAAGGACACAGATGTTTACGCCTATAGCTCTTTCGCACTCTACTTAATAAAATTCAGCTGTCAACGAATACAATTTCCGTAATGCACGGTAGCTAACCTGTACGTGGTACCTAAAGCGGATGGGTCCTTCATAGCTGCTTTGCATGGAACCAACAAAGCAGAATGAAAAGGAACAAACGTATCACCTGAAACAACATCTAGAGATTGCTGATGTTACCGCGAGGTATAGGTATATGACTAAAGCAAGTATTTACAAGGAACGAAAGCGTCAAGTATATGGGTATGGATGGAACAATTGTGCTTCACATCCCACTGAGTGTTTTACTACGCTATCTATAACATAGGGCGCATGTGGAGCAGTGGTTGGAGGCGCCACTGCAATACACACGTGGAACCGATCCTCACTCCCATGACCTACTAAGCCTTTCATCCCTCCGGGGTCGGCAAATTGGTAACAGACTTGTCTGGGTGGATAGCAGCACTGGCTCGATACATCGGTAGGCCACCGTGAGTTATTGTAAAGGCCAGCTATGCATTCAATCACCTCCAAACGATGGTTAATGAAGTCGGATGCATGGCGCATCCCTCAGGGATTGATCAACGCCGAGAGCTTTACCCTTTATCCTTTATCTATAACATCAGTAGCCCTTTTTGAGGTACTAAAGCGAATCACACTTGCGACCTTAACATACAAACGTGGTGAAATAGGGCAAACTTACCACATGTTCCAACTAAAAGAACTCTGCGAAATAAACCAAACGTCTTCTGTCGTGAGAGTCGAAAAAGGAAAGATTCATAGTATGTAACCTCGTCCTTCAGTGACAGTTGCTGTATAGAACGGGAGTGTTTCCACCTATAAATTGTGCTACATTTCGTTGTTATCTCACATTCAATACACCATTCAGTCTATGTATAATCCATACGTATAAATTTCCTATTAACAGCATGGAGACTTCTGCAAAAAGTAGCCCCACCTACCGTACTCTACCCTAGCACTAATGTCATCTGACTTTATGACGTACCACTGCATGAGTTGCATTCCTAAATTGACACTTCTTCCCACATATGCTAGACCAAGATGAGGAGTGTTGATTGTCAGCAAACTATGCAACCGAGGAGTTAACCACTTTTCTGCATCCTTTCGACAAACTGCTGCTCGAACAATTACTCCTCCTAAGGAATGAGCGACGAAGCTTAAAAAAGGACAAGATTGAAAATTTGGTATTCAAAAAAAAACAATAGAAAAGAACAAAAGAGTAAATCTCTCGGCGTTGATCAATCCCTGAGGGATGGGCCTTGTATTCGACTTTATTAAGCACCGTTCGAGGTCATTGAATGACCTTAACAATGACCCGCGGTTGGGTACCAATGTATCAAGTCAGTGCTGTTATCCTCCCAGACCAGTCTGGTATCAATTTGACGACCCCGTAGGGATAGAAGGCTCGGTGAGCCTGCGACGCGGGGAACGACCCCATGTATATTACAGGGCGCCTCCGACCGCTATGCTACGCACGCCCGTGAATAAATAGAAACAACAACAGTCATAATCTGAATATAACATACCTTATACGGGCAGGTGGCTCACTCAATCTCGCTATGTAGGACTGTACTTCAGAAAGCAAATTCTGTGCCAAGTCGTCAATGTCAGACCATGTCTTTGCATGATTTGCTTCACTTAGCAAATAACAGAATCCCGTAGCACAGCCTGATATAACCCGGAAAATGTTTCGATATGAGGAGAGATCATCGCATGTTCCTAAAGACAGCAGCTTCTTAAAAGGCTGACTGAAGGCTTAAGCACTCCTAAAACTTGTAATCGTTACTACTACCGTCTAATCCATGAACGAATATAACCAAGTGCTTCCGTTGTATGACATTAGTAAGAGTAAATGGAGATGAAAGTGAAGCTTGTTCACTAAAACAACAACTTAGAGGAAAAACAGTCTTTTTGATGAATAGAAAAGTGCCAAAAACTTTGTAGCAAAAAATACACTTGTTGAGCTTTCAAATTCCCCGTTCTTCTTGGATGGCAATAATCACTATTGTTTTGGAGGAACACAAGTTGCAAGGCAATAAACCACCTTCTTTCCAAAGAGGTCTATTCGACCATCACTCAACATATTGGAATAAAAAAGTTCATCAGATCTAAACAAGGCTGTTCTACGGCATTACACGAAGCGGTGCATTCGACTTCATCAAGCGTCGTTGAAGGTGATTGAATGTATATCTAGCTTTTACAATGACTCAATGTAGCCTACGGTAGTCTACCGATATATCTAGCCAGTGCTGCTATCCTCTTAGACATGTCTGATACCAATTACCTGAAGGGACGAACCTCAGGCGTGGAGATCGATCCTATGTGTATTGCAGAGCGCATCCGACCACTGCGCTACATGCGCACCCTAATAAGAGGACCTTCTACAAAATTATTACTAGCGACATTAATACAAGAATAAAAATAGTCTAAGAAAAATAACAAAGTAGGTTCAGACTATCGCGATGAAAATGGAAGTGTTTTGTTGGAGTTATCGCACAGCTTGTCTCTCTTACAGGAATTCATTTTTCACGAGAAAAAAGACCCTCACAACTGGACTTGACAGTTCTAAAACTGATCGTAGGGACGTCGATTGACTCGCAGTAGCTTACGGTAGCCTATCGAGGTTTAGAACAGTATCGTAATAGATAAGGGCAAAATGGTAGAGAAGACCAGCTATATTCTTAACAACAGAATTTGGAACCTATAAGGTGTTAGCCTTACTCCACTATTTGGCGCCGGTTTAGAACAGCACTGTAGTAGATAAGCACAAAATGATAGAGAAGTCCAGATATGATTCTCGATGGCGCCTTGAGCAATAAGCGTTACGAGAATAAGGATCCGACAGAAGACTACAAGATTCTGTTGAAAAATGTTTGGAAGTGTTCCGAACAAACTCTTCATAACCAAAAGACAAGCACTAAACCTTTATTACCCAAGAATAGACAGCTTCGGAAGAAAGATGTTACTTACTACTAGACCTGCTGGTAGATGTGTCGAACGAACAAACGAACACACACACTAACAGCAAAGAACGAGCACAGAGATCTTTCTCAACATGAAGATGCGAGAATTCTAGAGGTGGATATACGAAACACGAAGGACCATGGTAGATTTTCGTAAGCTAGAATCTGGCTCTCTGCTTCTGTTGATGAAAAAGGGAATATTATAAAGCCAATAACAAAGATACACCCAAATCTTATGGATTCGACAATTGTACCAGAACCTATTATTCCTACTACGACAACATCAACGATCCTTTTCAGATTCAGGAGGTGCAGTTGGAAGTCTGAAGCTTCGCACAGCATTGGAGCAGCAATACTTCGACTGATCTTCTACGTGCTGGTAACCACTACTTCGATGCTTCATTTGGAACACTATGTACCCAATCCAAAGGAGGATTTAGCGTCCATGTTTTTGTACAATACGAAGTAAAGAGGTTTTCGGAACTGTTGCTTGTTCAGCTTGCTGCGTGTAGTCTTCAATTTCTTCACAGTGATCATTATGCGTAAGAATATAGACAGTGTAAATCAAATTTGGCCTTTAAGGAAGACCATTTCACAGTTTGCTGATTCCAAAGCACATGCTCAATTATTTGAAGCGATAGTTCTTCCAATTCGTTATTTTGCTGCAGGAACGAGATGAAATTCTGATCACGGGGAGAGCTAGACAGAGGTCTCGGCGTTGATCAATCCCTGAGGTATGCGCCATACATCCGACTTTTTTAAACATCGTTAGAGGTAGTTGAATGCATATCTGGTGTATATTGGTTTGGAGGGCTCGATGAGCCTGCGGCGCGGGAATCGATCCCATGGGCAGTGAAGCGATGTTTTCTGACAACGAACTGACACACTCAGATCAATACCAATATACTGGAATGTTTGGCGTACGCAAACTATATCCATAGCTAGAATCAACTTTCAGACCATTGAGCCACAACTAAACTACGCCAGCGCAACTAGACGATAACGAATCGAATGAAAGAACTGTACGGGAGTGCACATGTGAAGATAGTCATATCTCTTCATAGTAGTCAGAATTAATACAATTTACTCCAGATAGCAATTAAACAAACTAAAGGCATCATCGCAAAAACTAGGTGGGGAAGGAAAGAACCCAAATACTATTATTCCAATTGCGCTCAACAACGAACACCTCTGATTGTATTGAAGAATAATTCAGATAACACGATAGCTAAAAGTAAGGCTGCAACTTAAGGAAGGAAAAGAAAAGTTTGGAAGGAATGTGGTTTGTACATGCTTAGAAATTTTTTAAGTAAGTATTCAGAATCCACATTTAGAATCGAAGGAGCGGTGAACTAAAAGAAGCAAAGACCTCGTTTTAAAAGACTAGCGAGAAAGCTAGTCTATACCAAATAATATAGGGTCCATTGTTCCCCTTAGTCCAAATAAAAGGACATCAAGCACTCTTCTTATAAGTATCAGTTCTCCTCCACTTTGTTGGCGTAAAATCAATTACACTGCTCATCGTCGCGAATGTGGTACTTATTATGTTTCACCACAGGCAATGATCATAAATATGGAGTATGGAGTTATGGCAAGAAAAAGACCTGTACGAAAAACCATCAAAAAGGTTTTCATCACGTAAATCCGCTTTCAGCCGCTCTCGAGCCATAAAGAAATCAACTATTACACTGAAATTGTCGTCTGGAGAATATGCAGACTGCCGATCCTCTAAAACGACTGTGCAATTCGATTTCACTCCACTGAATTACAAAAATTGTTCGAAAAATTAAAATCGAGTAACCACACTTACTCAAAGATAACGATCTCGAGGTTTGTGATCCAGTGAGACTGCGCCTTCGCCAAGGAAAGCAAGAGCGCATTGCGGAAAAAGACCCATGACTAGATGGCTCTACATCATCAGCCATAACTTCAAGATTGGGAGACTCTTTCTGAAATTCTGAAATAAGGTTTGGTCAGGACAATAAAGGGGAACTGTACCTTCGTATCGCATGTGACTTCAACAGCACCGTAAGATGACCGTATTTCAAAACGGTCTTCCAATATCAGGGACCTGGAAAAAATACTGAGTGGAAAACAGGTAACCACATGAGAAACTTGTATTCACACCAGTTGCTTATACAATTATCCAGATCAGCGCAGAATATCGGAAATCGAGGAAGTTTCTCAAGATATTTGCTTTTTAATACGATCGAAATCATCTGAAAAGAAATCGATGAAAAGCGTAGAACAAGATTTAAAACACGAACAACTGAAATATTCTCGTACCTAGAAACATCGCACAAAATTGTTAAATTACTTTCCCATGAAAACATTTGGAAACAACACAAAGTTGGTGGTAGGAAAGGGGCTTATGGCGCAGTGGTCGCAGGCGCCCTGCAATGCACATGGCAATGATCCCTGCGCTGAAGGCCCGCCAAGCTTTCTCGAGATCGTCAGATTGGTACCAGACTTGTCTTGGGAATAGTAGCGCTGGGTCGATACATCGGTAGGCCACCGCGAGTGACTGCAAGGGCCAAATATGCATTCAATCACCTACAACGACGCTTAATGAAGTCCAGTTCAAGGTACATCCCCAGGGATTGATCAACACCAAGAGCTTTATCCTTTACCTTTCTCTGCTGCGTTGAGATGCACGCTCGCATGTGATTCTAAGAGATTGCTTCAAGCTGATGATTTGTTTTCCCACATAAGTCCAATTAACCTAGAAGAAATATCAAAGAATATTAGTTGCTCCAATCAGCAGCCTATTTCACTCAAATCGTCTACTTATAATATAGGCCTACTTTCTAACTCTCGGCAAAAATTCGTTTCAATCCTTTTCAATCCAGCGCTTCCAGTACACCCATGCAGACGAAATAATCAGAATCCTTCGAGGAGTTTAACATACACACTGCGCAAATATGAAAAAGAGTTAGTAAAAATTAATATATTTCCATCCAGCTGGAATTTTGCCACTATCAAGATGAAAAAGTTAGAAAACTCTCGTCGTTGATTGCTCCATGAGGGATGCGTAATGCATTCGACTTTATTAAGGATCGTTGGTGATTAAGTGCAAATATGGCCTTTACAATAACTCGCAGTTGCCTACCAATGCATCGAGTCAGTGCTGCTACTCTCCCAGACAAGTCCAGTACCAATTTGCCGACCCTGGAGTGATGGAATACTTGGTGAGCCTGCAACGTAGGGACCGCTCCATGTGTATTGCAAGGAGCCTCCCACTGTCATTACACGCTTACTATGAAGATGGAAAATTTTATATAAATATTTGTGGACTACATTAATTGCGCATCCAATCTTTCCTCACTGATATTATGGAATGGCGCGAAAAGAAAGACCGTTCATCAGAAAAAAAATCAGTAAATATATAAAAGAGATAAGTTAAACTGAATAAAATAGAGGCTTAAAATAAAGTATGGGATCCAATTCTTGCCAACTAAACACTGCCCTAGCGGTATATCACCCCGCATCACTTTCGTACTCCTTATAGAAAGAATAACAAGACAATATAAAGAACAAGTTACCACTGAGGCTCAAATATTCATAGACAGAAAGTAGAAGAAACCCACTAACATACCTTGTCTATTGGAGTGAATATATGGAAATCACGGAATGAATATTCATTATAAAAAAAAAGTTCAGCCAACATTTTCATACGAAAACTCTTGTAACACTGAAGAAGAGAAGAAGATATCCCTGAAGTCTTATTGTACAGTAAATACTCGATGTTGAACCAACACTTGTGATTAAAAATGGGACCATTAAAAACACACCAGGAGACTCAGAACAAAGTCGAACAAGCTGGTTATAAGTAAGGGAAAGGCGCGAACTCAAACTAACAGCCACGTCCTCCAGTTCGTCCCATGGTTTCTTCGCTGACTCCAAACGAGATTTCAAGGATTCTATCTCAGCGTCCACATCACGAGGATCTAAGCTATTGCAGTTACTAATCGTAGGTAAACATAAACACGATAGGAGTGGATTGATAGCAACTGAAGTTTTAGTGGTGGCGTACCGAAACGTACAGTCGTCACCATCTTCTTCGTGTTTGTCATAATGAATCGTTCTATAGAGTTAATGGCTTGCATGAGGACGCATCCCGTTAATAAATGAATTTGTCTTGACTTCTTATCAACTGCCTGAAGACAACTAATGTGTCCTGATGACTAAAAATTAGGGAAAAATTTCGTGAATTACTGCAAAATCCAACCTCATCAGGTGACAGCCTCTTTCTGCGTGGTAAAACCGATACCAACGAAGCATAAACAGAAAGAGTAAGAGCAGCGTATGCAGAATGCTCAAAGAACAACAGACGTGAAGCAGCTGTAAGTCGAGCGGGACAAAGGGAAATCTCAATCGTGCGTCTACTCTCCAACTCGAATAAGTCGAAGTTCGGAGGACGATGACGATCCATTGACCTAAAATAATATCGTGGACAATGTTGCCATTGGATTGCTGAGAAAAGGAATTTCAAGGATAGCATACTCATCAAGAAACACCTTTACTAGAATAAAGGATAAAAGTCTCGGCATTGATCAAGCCCTATGGGATGCGCCATGCATTCGACTTCATTAAGCACCGTTGGAGGTAACTGAATGCATATCTGGCCTTTACAATGACTCGCGGTGGCTTACCAATGTATCGAGTCAGTGCTGCTACCCTCCCAAACAAGTCTGGTACCAATTTGTCGACCGCGAAAGGATGGAACGCTTGGTGGACCTGGGGCACGGAGATCGATCCCATGTGTATTGTAGGGCGCCTTCGAGCACTTCGTTACACGTGCCCTTTCACTGGAAATGTAGGAAAATATTGCACTCAAAAAGGCTCATGTGGCGTAGTGGATGCTCTGCAGCATACGCATGGTCGTCGGTTCGATCCTGCCTCGTCTTCTTAACAAGTCTTCCATCCTCACAGGGACCACAAAGTGGTTAAAAACATGTCTGGGAGGACAAGAACCGTGGGGTGATACATTGGTATGCCACCGAAAATCATTGTATAGGCCAGATATGCATTTAATCAACTTAGATGATGTCCAATAAAGTCGAATGTATGGCGCATTTCTCTGGGACTGAACAACTGAGACCAAAGATTTAACCTTCATCCTTTACGGCACTCAACGAAAAAATATCGCTTAAAGACCCTTACAAAGGAAAGAGCGATAGTGACTAACCACAACTCAACATCCAGAAGGAAGCAGTACTCTAGTTCAAGATCCGCATGAGTATCAAGTCGCAATGTTATAGCAAACACGTCTCCTAAAAATATCGTTGGAGCTCTACTGTATATGTAAATCTCTTCTAAACGATACCTTGTAGTTTAAGAACGAAACGGTTACAAAATATAAGCATAATGGTGCTGAGATATTTGCAAAACTCCGGACGGCAGGTGTCTGCGGTGGGGAACGAACACGCTATTACCATTTCCGAGGGCTAACGCGTTCACCACCACACCATGCGAGTCCTCCGTTTCACGTTCCTTTTAGCCGTGTTATTGACCTATTGGTGCTATCAGCTATCACCCGTTAATGGGGTTGATCCAGGGAGCTCAAATAGGCACCGAACACAGTTAAGCCAATGCTGAAGCTCAATAACACGACTGAGAAAAAGGCGAAACGAAGAACTCGCACGGTGTGGTGGTGAACACGTTAGCCCCAGGAAAGGGTAACAGCGTTTTCGACCCCACAGCAGACACTAATGGTCCGGAGTTTTTCAAATATTTCAGCATCATTATGATTGTATTTCACATAATACCCTGCCATTTAAAAAACCGGTAGTAAATAGAAAGTCACGACATTGTGAGCTACAAACTATTCGTAAAGCTTAGTGGCCACATGAACAAGGTTTGCATCAAGTTAGAGTGTAAAATAATTTTAAAAAGAGTGAGATTCAGAAATTAAAATGTATATGGAGCTTACCGAGTGTCAAAGTTTCATCTATGTAAGTGACTTCAACTGTTTTCGAGACACCACTGCCATGAACCACAGAGGACGAAAGGATAAAGGAATTACCATTGGTACTAGTAAAGTCGGAGCACTGAATATCTACAGAAGTGAAGTGTGAAGTAGTTTTTGGAATGAGACGTATCTGAAAAAATAGTTCTAAGCTGAAATATATTGTTAACAAGATATCCGTCTTTAAAACGCGAAACTCTCTTAGTGTCGAGATCCTACATTCTATAAATTCATTCCTCCCAACAGTTTACCGCCTCATAGTGGGTGGGAGGTGTTCCTGGGTGTCGGGCTGCGATTAACAGCGGGAGAATTCATCCCCCTTGTAGGGTCTCCCAAGCTGAGGAGTCCAGCGTTTCCATCAGGAAGCTCAGCTAAGGGTTAACCAATACCAAGATCCACCACAGTCCTAGTATCTAAGTAGTCGCACAGTGGCAAATCTCCTTGCGATCCACAATGGCGGCGACTGTCTGTGATGGTGACGACCTGGGGCAGGCTTCGGCCGCGCTGACTCCGGAAATCCAAGGAACCACACCGGCTAGACCAGCAAATCTCTGCAACAATGGAGATTATGCTGGGGCCCGCACAACCAGCGAAGATGGGCTATGCAAGTATACAAGTAATCAAGTATACGTCCATCAATTTCTCAACATCGAAGCAAATCGAACCGACAAATCTGGGGCACAAACTTTAGGGATAATGTGAGATGCCCACATCTTGATGGTATAGATAAACCAGTCATACAGAAAGTGTAGCTTTAACCTCCTCTTTTAGTCATTTAAGGTAAGAAAAATGCCTGTTTAGACGCTCAAAGCATATGTTTTCGTTGGAAGCGTCCACTTTACAAGTCATTTCAACTACTCGTACCACCGCAAAAAAAATGACAAGCTACTCTTACATCTAAGTAGAGACACATTCTAGATGTTCGTCGATTTAAAACAGACCTGATAGTAACCCCTTGTTGTGAGATCGATATTCCTTAACTCGTCCAGAATGACATTTACATTGAATACAGGATGAAGTTCCACAGCCATCTCTCGGGTGCTTAGAGATCTGGGAAGAATGGAAGTGGACACCCTGTCGCCGTCGCTGGTTTCAACGGAACGGGAGGAGGTACGACAACGATGACGACAACGAAGGTGTTAAAAACATCCCGGCGTTCCGGTGGACGAGGGCGAGCTGCACGGCCTGCGCCCGACCGACACCAACCCGCGCGTCGCAGCGCTTAACCCTGTCGCCTTGGGAAAGAACGCGGCTTTTTGACTAGACAGATCCAGCACGGGTTACATTACCCGAAATCACAGTGGGTTTGGTGGCTGTTGAGGATTCTTGGCGTTCTTTATGAATTTCGTTGATTACTTATGGACAAGATTCACGCCAAGTTTTGTGATTACCATGCCGACTGGGTGTTTTCGGCCGGCTCTTCACCATATGCGCATTTGAATAGGAGGGAAATCTGGCACGAATTTCACGAGCTTCGGCAAATTGGTACCAGGCTTGTCTGAGAGGGTAGCAGCACTGACTCGATGTATGGGTAGGCCACTGCGGGTCATTGTAAAGGCCAGATATGCATTCAGTCACTTCCAACGATATTTAATGAAGTCAACGTCGAGAGTATCCTTCATCCTTTATTTATCCTTTCCACTGGATTGTCGGATACGTAATGTTTGATCGGTAGGCCGATCAGTCGCAAAACTTGCCGCCACATGATCTGATGCTTTAGTGGAAGAATCTTAACTGGAAACCGTTTTCTCATCCACGAAGCGACAACCTGTGATGGAGAACTGAGAACACTCAAGTACGTATTTAAGGAAAAGCGACGCTCGACCATCATTCAACATTATCAGGGAGCAGGCAAAGAGTGTCGCCAAACACTAGGGGAACCTACGTATCAACCCGATCGCTTCCACGGCTGGAAATTGCACGACAACGAAACAAGTCAGAAAAGGCTGCTACTCGCACGTCGTCCAGAGAAGGGTCTCTGGACATCCAATTGTCTTTTATATCCAATAGCACTTCCACCGTTTTACCGAGGACTGTGGCATTTCGATGAACAACCAAGGATTTGGCGATTTGTTGCCAACCGATTGGTTTCCAATTTGTAAATACTAAGGCATCTTTAACATGTGTTTGGTCTGAATAGCTCACATCAGCGCACAACTGCTTTTTTCTGTACGGATTTCGAGCAAGAAATACTTATGGGAAACATACCAGTCTGGCCTTTCACCGAATCCCACTTTTCTAAAGTTATCATTATAAGCCTTGTTAAATTTGGACGAAGTATTCCTTTGTTATTTATTTGCAACAATTCTCTTTGGTATCCTTGAGTACCCACAGACTTCCTTCGTAGAGGGATCTCGAGACAGCCGCGAGGCTACGTGGTGCGTCCTCAGGTGGAGGTTAGGGGGTTAATCGTGGACGAAAAGCTACCCTTGGTTCCATGAGACGTAGGTGAATCCAGGTGATGGACTCCCTATTTCTGCTGCGCCAACTGGGACATATCTTCTTTATTTACGAGGATGTACTAAGGTGGGCAGGACAAGTGATGCGTAAGAATGACAATCAATGGACAAGTGCCGAATTCCTTAGGATGCCTAACGTGCTGCAGGAATGCCATCGACCCAATGGTCAGATCTTTTCATGAAAACCTTAAAAGAAAGATATGGTGCTCAACGAGTCCCTAGAGCGAGCAGCAGTGGGATAGCCTTTCTAGCGACGGGGACAAATGGAAGATTTGCTAGCGCCCGCTGGCTGCACTCCATGGTCAACGGGAGGACGGCTGAATGGTAATACAGATGATGAATTTTACTTTCTGCTCGACTCACTTACCTTAACGCTAACATTTCGTATGTTAATCGAACCCATCAAATAAGTGGAGAGCGAAAGTAGAGAGGGTCACTGTGGGCTCGAAGAAATAGCTGCCACGTATATTCCAAGGACGTCCAGAATTTCCTCAGTAGACACGCCAAAGGGTTGTGAGTTAACTGTAGCCGGAAACAATAAGGTGTGGGCGAAGTTGTAAGGTTCCAAACCAAAACAATGACGCTATTCATGGTCCTTTTCCGATGCATTCGATCCCACTGGTAAAATCCGGTATGCGACAAGCGGATAGAACTTCCCCCCTCGGATATCATTAGAGTACGTGGGAAAACCCGTCCCTAAAAGAACGAATTCCGTGAATAAAAATGGTTTAACTTCACATCTTCCAATAACCTACAACATGCGCCTTACTGCCATTCCACCAACGATAGAAATCGACAATGATTGCGCTGCCCGGCTTTTAGTCGGCTTTGGAGAACTCGTCCACCAACGCGGCGAGCGCGTCATGATTCATCCGCCTCGCCACCCGGATTCTCGTGAGTTCGACTACGCCTGCTGGGCTTGCCGGATGTAAACAGCGTAGCGATGGTGACGCCTCAGTCGCTCCTCTCCCTTGTTTCCGATCGTTTTCGTTTCTGTTGTCTCGATTAAAAGTGTGCAGTACCGTTTGAACTACCGGATAGGCATTGTACATGGACGGAATGACGTCATCGTCATGTCGTTTTCCTCAGTTTTCCTTGTACCTTCAATGGGATCTCCTTTGTAGACTCCACTTATTGGCGACTGTTCTCAACTAATCTGATGATTGATTCGGATAGCGAGACCACAAAACTAAGGAAAAAGCTCGTGAAGCACCTTATCCTGGACACTGGAGGTGTAATTGCGAACGTCAATCTTCATGTGAGTAATTCATTTAGTTCACTTGAATTTTGTCACAGAAAGACAGTGGTGAGATGTGCAAACCATAGAGGTGGACTGATTTGGACATTATTTGAATTCGTTTATTATTGAATTAATTATTGGTGGACCGCAATAATGCTGAGATATGTACAAAACTCTGGACCGCTGGTCTTTGTGATAGGTAGTGAACCCGCTATTACTCTACGGGGGCAAACGCGTTCACCATCACACCATGCGAGTCTTTTGTTTAGCTCTTCTCTCAGCTCTAATCTATTAGTAGATTGTTTAGGAAATAGCGGAGAATTATTATGCTCCACATGAGGTTGTCACGGAACTGCGTTCTCTGCGTTCCAAGATCAGCTTCGATACATTACCCTTTGAGGTTAAAATGAGAGAACCATCATCTGATGCCATAAGAAGAGGTTTGAGTTTGTCTTGCTTCGAATCTGTTCGTCCTTTGTGTTCTCATAATTGACATCGCTCTAAATTGTAAGATTTAGTTGTCGAGAAATCAAAGGAAACAGGTGACTATGCATCACTCTCTCTAACCGATATCAAGGTTATTGCACTCACGTACGATATCCATAACGAATTCTGCAAGGATCTTGACATCATTGTGAGAGTTTCTTCTTGGTTTAGTTGGTTTTACTAAGTGCAGCCCATTATTTAGGGATCATTTGAAGCGAAAGCTTCACTTGGAAGCGATGTGGACGACATTGGTTTTAATGTAGAGTCAGAAAACAGAATCAGACCGGTTTCCAATGGTACGAAGGCAGATTCTGTCGGTCTTGAGTCTGGTGATGCAGATATTCATGCTGACTCTATAGACGTTAGGCCCGATAACGAGATGCCTGAGGGTTTCTGTAAAAATGTAGGTGTGATCTAGCACTTCACCTATGAAGAGTGTTTCATCCATTATCTGTTATATTTAAGGATAACAGTGATGATGAAGAAGGCTGGATAACAGAGGATAATATTAGTCAGGCTCTCAAGAAAATTGGCGCGCTCGAAGTATATCTTTTTGCTATTTTTGAGATAATTTTTGTTGGTTTATTCGTGTTCGAAATGTTCGAAGCATTCATAAATTATATTTGCTAGGTGGAAGAAGGCATCGTTGTTGGGTGTTTGACAACTGACTTTGCTGTGCAAAACGTACTTCTGAAAATGCATCTGGGTCTGGTCTCCTTAAACGGCTATCGCATTAAACAGCTAAGGTCATTTGTGCTTCGTTGTCGCGCCTGCTTCAACACCACTCCGATAATGACGAAGGAGTTCTGTCCCACTTGTGGTCACAAGCTCTTGCATAAAGTTCGTTTCAATAGTGATTTTGTTGTATATTTTTCTGAGAATGAGAGTTCTCAAAACGCACGTTTAAGTGTTCTGTGTCTGTGGACGAGAATGGAGAGCAAGTTCTGCATATTAATTGGCAACGACTTGCTGTCAAACGTGGTTTAAAACACTCTTTAGCAGCACCGAAGGGTGGAAAGCATGCTGTAAGTGATTGTTGTGATTTTATTGCTTGCTATTATGGGCTGTTAGAAGTATTAAAATAACTTTGATATGTCGTTTGGTTCTTAATATCCAGAGAAGGCACTCATTGCTTCCTGATTTTGTTCCACTGTAGAAGGCAGTCAAGATGAAAACCAGTTTAGGTGCGTCTTTGTGTTATGGTTTCAAGCTTAAAAATGTGCGTTCGTTGTTTTGATCTGGTTTGCATTGATTTTATACAACTTGGATTACTTGAATACAAGTTCAGCTTCATCATTGTGAGGATGAGGATTCTTTCATACTAGTATAATATGACCACGATAATGCTGAGATATTTACAAAACTCCAGACTGTAGGTGTCTACGGTGGAGAATGAACGCGCGCGCTATTACCCTTTCCGGGGCTAATGCGTTCACCACCGCACCATGCGGGTCCTTCGTTTTGCTTGTTTCTCAGATAGCTAATCCGAAGATGGTTATTCGGTGTACAAACATTGGTTAGTTTTTAGCTCAACTGTACGGAAACCTTTTCCGCAGTAGATAATCACTAAGGTGGAGTATGCCTACTAAACAATAACTCGGATATGACGGCATTGGAACAGTGGATACCGCATGACGTCATTTGTAAATAAATTAGATCTGGTGACAATGATTCGGAGCGTCCTAATCGTTTGGACTGTTATGCTGTTATTGCATATGTTTGTTACCACTAAATCCATTAACTAATAGATGTTGATTATCGACAAAGATACAAAGGATGATTTGCGGCCTAGTGACCGGCAACTTGCCCAAAAGAAAAGAGCCGTGTTTTGCTTTTCTAGAAAAGTCGTTGTGTAATTGACAGAAAGGGCTTCGTCTTTGAAATCCAAGTGATTCGAAAAGGCACGTAAATCTTCATTTCAGGTAAATGAGAAGTTGTTTGAAGGCCAACCAATGCCCCAGAATCGCATGGCTGCGATACGTGCAGATCCTTTTGCTGACAGTCCTTTCCCAATGCATGATGTTACTTCGAGGTTGAATATTCTAGCTCTTTATCTTTATCACTCTTCAAATGTAGGTAAATTTATGGTAGTATTGTTGCTACTGTTCTACTTAGGTCTGCAATGCTTGGTATCCGGGCTCTGAATAGCAAGCAAAAACGTAGGAGGAATCCGAACGAAGCAAGCAGTAGGAAGCGAAAATGATTTGTTTCTAGTTTATATATGACGAGGTTATATACATCTTCATTGTTGTTTGTTGCAAGAGTTGTTTTGCAATTTGTTGATTATGAAAAGTTCTAAATGAAATGAATTTGTACAAAGAACTTGGCTCAGTCGTTGCTTCTCTGGTCGCTTGATACCAAGGCATATTTCATTCCTCTAGATTCGTTCCGTGTTTACACAACATACAGTAGATTTCTCTAGGTACGACAATGTCTACTGTATATTATTGCCATCAGTGTCAGAATAACGTTCCGCTCAGGAACACGGTGAGTTTTAATAATAATTTGGGTTCTTGAGGTAGCTCGCTCGTATATGTATGCGTAAATAAGTACATATATGTGTACACATATGTATGTGCGTATATATGTGTATGCACATACTTGTACATACATGGTTAAATATTCCTCTAAAGTTTAGGACATGATATGTGGTGTATGTGGCGGAGAGTTTCTCGAACAGATAGATGTACCTCCCACTCGCAGTGCTGCTCCTCCAGCGAACCAACAGTTTGCTGCTCCTAACAGGGTACACTTTCATCGTCATCACCACCATCCAATTTCACCGCAACATGTTCATGTACATTTACAACAAGGGTCAAGTCAGAATCCACCAGAGGTTTGAGTTTTCGACTTATTCAGTGGGAGAGGTTGAATTGTACTTTCTTTTATGGATGGTTTATTCAACACCCAAGTCTTAAAAAATTGTTCGCGCAGAATCCCTGTCTATCGAAAAATCTGCATATGTTGCCTGACTTGACATTGTATTGTAACGATTGAGTACTAAATCTATGACAAAAGTTCTATAGTCTTTATGAGTACTAAAACATTATTCGTCCATTGGGTTTTGGTATGTAATTTCTCAGTATTCAAGGTTGAAATTTGTGTGGTTTTTAATTTGGTCCCTTTTTGACTGTCAAGAAGAACGCGGTGTATTTTGAGGGTGCACATTATTTTCTACAACTTCTCGTCTTTATAGCAATAGTTTCTATACAACTAAAATATAAACTCGGCTTGAAACTACTAAATGTTCAAGAGAGTTCCACCCCTTCCGTTGTTTGCATGTTGCCGTTTATTGTTTCAGAAAGAGACCTATTTAGGTCAGATAAGTGTAAAATTAATCAAGTTCTTCGTTGTTAAGTCGACTAATGTGTGTTCATTCTGTAGAATGTTATCTCTTCAATCATGGGTATGATCAATGCATTCGCTCATCCAAATCATCAACCTATCTCACCACAAAACGAGAGTAACGATGGAGACGTTCCCGTTAATGCTGGTCACTCACAAGGTCCACAAAGCATGGTTCGTTCCATTATGGATTAAAAAAGACATTGCACTACTGTTCATGTTTAGACTTTCTCACTTGATCAAGCCATGCAAATACATCCGATACTGAGTCAGGTGCTTACTACATTAGGCAATCCACACATGCAAGTTCGAATACATATTGGAGAAGATGCAGAGTACGTTGGAAGTTATCAAACGTTTCTATTAGACGAAGTTTCTAATATAATGCAATTGGTAAAGTAGGCACTTTTAGTGGCATGTTGCACGGGCCGTTCGGTGACTACGTGTGGGGTGAAAACGGTATGGATCGCATCGTAACCCAACTTTTCAATCAAATGGATGGAAGCCTGAGAACTGTTGGGCTAACAGATCAGCAAATCAATAGACTACCAATAATCAAAGTGGATATGATCTTTTTTTTTATTGTATATGGTTGCTCATTCCTAAACTGTTCTATTTTACAGGTATCGGAGCAACATGTGGAAAAGTCTACCCAATGCACTACTTGCTTCGAAGACTTCAAATTGGGTACGGCATTTATTACCACTACACGTTGTTCTGAAGCTGCAACGTGTTGATATAAGTGTTCTAGGTGAATTAGTAGTGGAATTGCTATGTCGTCATATATTCCACCCTCAGTGCGTGGTACCTTGGCTCCAGCAACGCCCATCTTGTCCAATTTGCAGGCAAGAAGTGGTTGCTGTACAATTTCCAGAGCCTGCACCTGGCGCTCCAACAGTTTCGGTTAGCTCCTTTAAAAAGTTTTCGTTCCTTCTGATATCATGAAAACTGGCTGCTGTCGTACGGAAAAGAATGTTCAAAAGTAGTATGTTGGTGAATCATTGATCATTACGAGTATGTTAGGCTATCCAGAAAATAATGTGAAGATCCCGAGGACTATATAGAGCGATAGAACCGTAGTTCAGGATTTTCTCAAAGTTTGACACTTATCGATCACTTTTGCACCCAACTTCTTGTGAATCCCAGTCGTTAACGTCTCTTAATCCATAGCGTACTGACAACCCTTAATAATCTATGATCCTGTTAGCAAAGTGTTTAAGTTCCTGAGCAGTAGGCTTATGCTGGTCTAAAGTTGAAGGTGGTTTCTATTTTTGGCATCATGTGACTTCCATAGAGGTCACATTTTCGCGTAAATGTTAAGGAAAAACGTCGGAAGTTTGACAGCGACACGAAGCCTTGCACTAGCGAGAAACCTATAGACACTTCATCTCAATTGTAACTTTAAGTTCTTTATTGTTTTTCACACTGAAGAACTCTGCTGTTCATTAATGAAGGCTAAACAGACTTGTCGAAGGCTTCCCACCATATTAAAGCTATAGTTAGATTTTTCCAGAGCTTGGAGGCGAAACACGATCTAATCGACCCGGAATTGGATTAAGGGAAAAGGGTGGGAAGAGCGTTTATCATTCATGACTGTTATACTTTTGTTCTATTTTAATCTGCACTTGAATGAAATCTGGTTAATGATTTCGTCTGAGTACATAATTAACAATTTTCCTGTTCAGTGAACTTTTGAGTTCATGATTACGTCAGCTGTACATATGTCTTCAAATTAGCTTACTAAGTCTCGTGCCTGTCTACACTCATCAAACTTACTAATCAAAATTTGCTAGACGACTTGTGAATAAAATTTCATATCATGTTAACCCATAAAATACTTAAAAATATACTTCAACAATGACACAGAGAGAAATGAGTGCTACTGTTCGCGATGAATGATTACAAATAAACCAAGAAGGCCGAGTACTGCATACTTCAATTTCGGATAATCATTCATGAGGATAGTGACCATACCGACGTATGGAAGAATACCCTTTGTGCGACCAACAACATCAGAACGATGAAGCCACATCTGCCCTGGAGCGTACAGGCCGCGATCATCAACCTGAAGAATCCACCAATACTAAATAATTGCTAGCCATATCATTACCACGATAGTAACCATGCTAAATGTTAAAGGGCTATAGCATTGTACTCATCCAATGAATGTAGTCACAAAAGCAGTAAACTTGCGAGACAAATAATGTTAATGCACTAAGTAATGTAACATTTCTAGCACGGCGATATATGCCATGAATATCAATATTAATTCCCAGAACTACAATAGAAGTGCAAATAAAAAGGATAAGTGCAGCACAAGTTTGATAAGAACAGAATGAGTAAGCCACTGGTTTTGGAGATCCTTTTGGGGTTCTTGACATTCTCTTAGAATTGTTTTAAGTTATTCTATCAAAAATGGAGATTATGCTGGGGCCCGCACAACCAGTACGTACGTGCCGTCCAAGTGTCCAAGTGTATTCTATCAAAAATATGAACACAGATTGGCTCGATGTGCTGTTATTCATCAGCTGCTGAATCAGAAGGACCGCCGCCCTTCTGGAAAATTCTAGTCGCAACGCAGCAAACCGTCCACTCCACAAGTTTTGAAGACACCCCGAGATAGGTCTCGCAACGTCCTAGGACGACCATCTTGTGATTTACGCATAACTATGGTCAATCAGTGTCTTACGTATCGATAGGCGGAGAAGATAAATCCTCAGAGCATTACCCGAACTAACACGTGAATCCGATGACCTCCGTTAAGATGATTATGATATAACAACATAGACGGATTTGGTGCTGGTTAAAGTGCAATGTGTTTGAGAACATACTTGATTATTGTCTCCTTTCGTAAGAAACTTTGTGTCTTGAGCAGTTTTCTCATGAACCTGAAAAGGCTAAGGAAACTTTTAGGAAAAAAAAAGGAAAACGTAGTGATTTATTTCCACTTCTTCAGATTCACTGATAACTTTTACCTTTATTACTCGATGAACTATAGGTATATCTCTTCCTTCTATCTTGAAAACGGTTACGTCTCCTGTTCTTATTGGATCCGACTGGTCATTCGTCAACAACAAAAGATCTCCTCTAAAGAACGCTGGCTCCATAGAACCTATAAACACAGCTTTAAGTATAAACAGAAAAAGTAGTACTGAAAGCATCCACACATGATACGCCCTGCAGTACTGAAAGGAAGGAAATCCAATAATAATTGTTCGAATAAACATGGAACATCTAATGTTCATTATCCGAGCCGACTTTACTATAATCACAACAACGCGTGGTTTTCAATGAGGTACCTAAAATTATACAAAAAGAACCTGAAAGAACAACAACAATAGGGCTTTCGGATCCAGTAACGACCATCAATCCCTTCCAAATCATAAGTGCGGACGAGACCACCATCGCGAAGTTCAGACCCTGAACTTTCAACTGTTATCTTGAATACGAGTGGTATTGTCAGAACAGGAGACTCGTCTACCACTTTTAATCCCTCGTCGACTAGACGCCAAGGTCTATAAATCATTAAAAAGACTTCGGACCATTGATAAAGTATGAGAAAAAACCTATCCATCAAAATCCCTTCTTGCACACACTGTAACTAACACTAACCAGGAATCCACCATGTTTCTTCCTAATCTCACCTGGTATATGAGTTGGCGTAGATTCATTCTACGTAGTTCATCGAACATTGCTAAGTCCAACAGACCCATAGCTGCTAAATCTAGTTTTCATTAAATAACTGAACGCTAAGGACTAAGTATATTAGTAAAACGACAACTCATGTCCATAGAGGGCAAACATAACGAAATTTTATTGCAATTTGGGCAGTGTTCGTGGTATAGTAGAGTAGTGCCCGATTAGAACACAAATGTGTACAAACCAGAAGCCGATTTAACGAAGCTTCATTTATTTCCTTTGATAAAGAACCAAAGTGCACAAGAATCATATCGCTATGTGATGGTCGTTAATGCTCTAGATTCATGCGCGATTTTTCCACTTCCATTAAACACAATTTGTTAAGTGCACCTGGATGAGATAGCTCCTTTCTTTTAACAATGGAGACATAACAAGTAGGGTAATCAAGAACAGCGAATGAGAAATGTACACAAAATATGAGTAAATAAATACGATGGGACAAATAATAGGCACTATTCTGTAGAACAGAGGCCTAAAAAATCATCCATAAGCGTTCCAATGGCAAAAATATCGTTGGCATCCACTCGCGTTCCAATCAATTTCACCTGAATAAAATGATTGAAAATTTGAACTGTATTAGCTATTAGCTGCAATGCGATGAAACAACTACAAATCTTGAGAATAAGAGTTTGAACATAAAGGAAGATAAAAGGATAATGAACAAAGTTCTCGGCGTTGATCAATTCCTGGGAGATGCACCATGCATTCGACTTCATTAAGCATCGTCTGGAGGTGATTGAAGGCATGTCTGGTCTCTACAATGACGCCGTTGCCTACCGTTGTATCGAGCCAGTGCGGCTATCCTTACAGACAAGTCTGGTAACGATTTGGTGACTCTGGAGGGATGGAGAGCTTGGTAGGCCTAGGACGTGGGGATCGATCCCATGTGTAATGCAGAGCACCTGCGACCACTGCGCTACATGCACTGATGTTAAACTAGTAGATTCATATTGCTAAATGTTCGTTTGATGAAAGGAGACCTTTTCAAGTAAGCAGATAATATAAAACACATGTATACGAAAAGAAACCAGCAGATTTATAGCTAAACTAACTCTGATTTCATCATCTTGCTTGATAAGCGACGTTTCATCCTCTGTTTTATAACAAGGTGGGTTTGAATTAGGGTCAAATTCCATATCAGGTGGAATACAGTGACGAGATATAAAGCACGACAATGGTCCAATATCGCAAAATATACCGACCTTGTTGACCTAAACATACAAACAACACAACATATGTTGACCCAAATAACCGATACGATAACTCTGAAGAAAGCAAATCTACACTTCAAAAAGATAACTAAACAGGACCATTTTTACCTGGTTAACAACAGCATCTACAACTTGCCCTTTGAAAGGTCGAAATACGATGGCCTTGTACTTAACCGGGTATATAACGAATCCGCGTCCTAAAAAATACTGTTCAACAGTGGTTACAAGCAAGAAATTTTCAAATCGACCGTCATTTAACCTCGGTAGCAAAATAATTAACTTGTTTAAATTGTTCAGCTTTCACGAGGTGGCAACTCAGTTGTGGTCCACGACTGTGAACCATCGACTCGCATCATTGGGTCTGATGAAGACAAAAACGTCGAAACGTTAGCGGAATAAAACCATTTTATCACCTTCGTGTAGGCTTAACAACTTAAAGAAGCAAGAAAGTAAGTGAAATAACAGTATATGTACATATATATATACACATGTATTCACATATATATATATATATATGTACATGTGTATATGCATACTAACCAGGCTGAATAAGTCCATGGCCAATGGTGTCGATCGTCGTGACAGCGATCACGAAGCCAAACTTCCCAGTGCATGTGCCTTCAACTTCAGCGAACAGTTTCATTTTTATTGTCTCATTCAAATTAGCGCCAAAATACTTGGGATGCAGACACACTTCATGTTCCATAGACAAATGAAAGAACATAATACTCTGAATGAAAATGAAATTAAGACCACACAACGAGATACAGTCTTCCAAATCTTCCCATACAGAGTATGTTATGCCATCATTTCGAAACATATAGGAAAGCCGTGATAAAATGAAAAACAAAACCAGATTTGCAGTGATGTCACAGAATGAGGCAAACACACTTAATCCCACACTCACGAAAAATGGCCTAGCTTTCGTAGCTTGGTTCATAAACTTGTATTTTCAGGGTGGAAGAAAATGGTGAGTTTCTCAGTAACAGTTTAAAACTAAGCAGAATCATTCTTAAATAACAAGGTTTTGGATTGCACATACATAACCGAAGGAGCGCAGAAAATGAGGCGTAGATGCTGGCTCAGCCGTCTTCCAGTAAGCATTAAACTGATTGGTGCTATCTACTACCTATCTGGCGTCCAGTTAATCATCGAGTGACCGAGCGGGGGCTAGTAAATTTTCCATTTTTTCCTGTCGTGTTCAAGAGTAGCACAGTGGGTTCTGTTCGCTCTAGAGACTCGTTGAGCATCATACCATTTTTCTACGGTTTTCGTAAGAACTCTGAGCATCCCGCAGTACGCTTGACATCCCGAGAAATCCAGTCACTTATGGCTCTTGTCCACCGGCTGTCGTTCTTATGCATTACGTGTCCGCCCCACCTTACCAACGACTGTTTTGCGTACAGAACAGCATCTTTGATTTTTGATCGTTGACACAGGCCGGAGCTCCGGATCCCTTCTTTCATCGTGTGATACGGGATAGTCCTAGCATCGTCCTTTCGACTGCGCGTCCAATAACGCTGAGTGATCTCCCATCCTGCTTACACAGCGACTTGGTTTCTGACTCACACGTTAAGGCAGGAAGTATCCAGGTTAAGGCATATCTATTTACTCATAGCTCATCAATGATTTACCGAAATGACGTCGCAAGATGTGTTCCTGGTATGGAATTCGGACCGCAGCTCACAAGATTATCTCCGTTGCAGAGTTAGCACCGGGAACGGTAAGGTATTCAACCCTTCGACCTGGAAGCGTAGCCAAAGTAGGCCGATACTATGGCGGATGTTGGTGAGTCCTTCGTGGATATCACTTCATGATGAACAGTGACATGAAATGAAGGGCTTCATAGCCAGATTGCAACACTTCATCGAGCTAGACGAGCCCAAGAGCAACTTTGACATTTAACACGACAAATGTAAACTTTTCCTGTGCTGGATTTGGCCATTCGATGATCAGTGGGATCACGGGTAGGATCAGCCACGGAACACGTAGATAAAATACCAGCAGTGATTCAATTTACGATAAATTTCAACGGAAAACTCCATAAAGTATACTGAAAACGCAGCTTACCTAGTGTTTCTGGACAGCCAAGGTGTGAAGAGAGCGCAATATACCCGAAAGTACATTGAGCAGAGTGGGTACACCACTCAAACAGAAATTCTTTAGAAGCATTTTCATTTTTTCTTATTTTATCTGACCCGTTTTCACGTCTACTGTGCAGATCCCAGCACTTCTCACGTTCGATTCGTTTCCTCGCATCCATCGTCCACGAAAGTCTCCCAAGTTTTTACGTGTGGCTTCGGTCGCTGCTTTAGGGTCTTCATTTCATCTTGAATGTCGTAGAATGCTGGTCGAGCAATTCTCCCTGTAGTCCAGAGATGGCCGAGCTGGAGCGTTCCAAACTGGACTGCAGAGAGTGATTTTTTCCCAAACAAGTCCGGTACCAATTTTCCGACCCCGGAGGAATGAGGGGCCTGGTTGGCCGGGAGCCAAATCGAACTAGCACCATGCTCGTGATGACGGACATCATTTACCACTGTGCTATCCGCCCCCTTTGGAACCACATTGTCGAAAAACACAAATTCTTCCAGTCATCCGTTCGGGTACATCAACAAGGTAAGCGCAACCAAAATCAAGCTTGTTCTGCTACGACTCGAAGCACGATCCTCGATGAAAACAAGTAAAAAGAAGACCTATGGGCTTCAGAAAACCGGCAACTCATTATAGCAAAAACTTGTAATTTCTTAGCGAAGATCTCTAGTTATTAAGGGAATTTAATTCATTTAATAGAATCCATTAAAAGCTGTAACAAAACCACATTTCAGTGTTGGAAATTCAAGCTATTTTCAGATATGAGCTCACTGAAATCTATTTCCGGCACTGTCTTAAGGAATAGGTCCGCAGAATGTTGTTCAGCAAGAGCTTAAGGACAAAAAAAGGAAGAAAGGGCAGTAAAAGGGAAAAGAAGGAGAAAACTGTGCGGAAAATGCGCTCGGACGTCGACACAACGTCGCCGAGGTGGCGGACTCCGACAGGAGGAGAAGACGTGACAGCATCACCGTGGCCGCTACGGGAAACTCGTCCGGGCGCCAGAAGTCGCGCTCTCTGCCGCACGGTTGACATCGTGCCGAACCGTTCTGCTTTGAAGTTTTTACACGAAGGATTTTTTGGTTCCAGTTTCTTACTTGACACTGTCTTCTTACAGATTACTTGTTGTCTAATTCTGTTGGTCCCATTATGGAATTTGTTGTCCGTTGACTCCGAGGATTTCGACTGTATTCCTATGTATACTCTCTCAGCAGGGCTATGGGAGAAGCTGTTCAAGAAGAAAAACTACTACATTGTCATCGTCGGCTTGGATAACGTGGGAAAAACGGTAAACTGGTTTAATTTATGCTAAATTTATCATTCGTTCATCCGATTCTTTGAAAACTGCATGGTTTAGCAAAGAGAAAAAACCCCAAAACTGTCTGAATGCTACCAAAATACAGTAAAAGCTAAAAAAACCTTGGCGTTGATCAATCCCTAAGGGATACGCCTTGCATTGGACTTCATTAATTATCGTTGGAGGTGACTGAATGCATATCTGGCCTTCGCGGTGGCCTACCGATGTGTCGAGCCAATGCTGCTATCCTCTCAGACAAGTCTGGTACCACATTTCACAGACTCCGGAGAGACGGAGACCTTGGCGGGCCTAGAATGAGGGACCGATCCGATGAATATTGCAGGCGTCTCCGACCACTGCGCTACACGCGCTACTCCGAAAAACAATAGATCCCAGGTATTGCGAGGGTAGTGGTGTCTTCCACAGTTCCATGCATCCATGTTATCGATTGTTTGCTCATAAGATTTTAGTATAATGTATATCCATACTGGAATCCAAATCTCCGTATGTACTGTAATCATGCTGGCGTTCGAATAAACCTGTGAGAACACTTCGATAAAAAATCGTGGTTCCAATAATTCAATGAAAGGGCGCGTGTAACGTAGTGGTCGGAGGCGCCATGCAATATACATGGGATCCATCCACGTACCAGGCTTACCAAGCTCTCCATCCCCCCGGGTTTTGAATAAATTGGTAGCAGACTTGTCTGAGAAGATACCAGCACTGGTTCGATATATCGGTAGGCCACCGCTAGTCATTGTGTGGGCCAGGTGTTGATTCATTCACCCCCAGCGATGCTTTAAGTCGAATGCATGGCACATCCCACAGGAACTGATTAACGCCGAGATCTTTATCCTTTTATCCTTTAATCCAGCAAGCCGACCAGAATCCTTGATCATCAAATTTAAATTGAATTAAGTACAGTCTAGTAAGATCTACATACTTGAACTGAGAGAAGAGAGTTTTGGAGCTGCAACTGTAACGAGGGAATAGACGTGGATTTTCAGTTTTCGGGAATTGAGCTGCTCTGAGCTCAGAATGATTAAGAGTACGGCATACTAGAATAGAGGAGAAGCTTCATCTTTTTCACCGGATTGTTGGTTTTTTAGACCTTTCTTGAGCAGACGAAGTCTCGCTTTGTGAAGGGTTATGGTGCTCTGAATCCTGCGCGAATTACGAGTACTGTCGGACTTAACAGTTGGTTTTAATTTTGGCGGCGTTTTCTTCAAAATTTTATTCTTTCCATCTGATTTTACGCATTCTCTTTTTTGTATTATGTGATCAAATTCCTTAATTTTTCAGTTGGTAAAGTTGAAATCAACAACACCTGTTTGTATTTTTGGGATCTTGGTGGACAGGAGGACCTGCGAACATTGTGGAGCAGTTACTACGACGAGGCTAATGCATTAATTTTTGTGGTCGATGCTACCAGGAGCGATTTGTTTCAGGAAGTCGCTAGCGTGTTTAGTGAGTTTTATGCTCAGGTGGATATATTGTTGAGACGTAATGTCTAGTCTATTCAGTGGTTTGCTGTCTCATTGTGGTTGCCTTTGTGCATCGAGCTACGATGGGCAACAGCTTCTACACCCTAGTAGGGTCACTAAAGCCGAGTGGAAATTGGAATTTTTGCGTTGTTTTCTTGCTCAGCAATCATGAGGTTGTTACGCAGATACATTTACTTTCATGCAAAAACACACAATACAGCAGTGGCTAACGTTTCGGCAGTATGGCCTTCTTCAGAGCCGCTTTTTTCCGTGACTTCCAAGGAGGAAGATTAGAACAGCTGGTTATAGTCGCGTATGGTTGATGACTGCACCACCCCACAGCAGAAATTGATGCAAAGATGCGGGGCCATATCGCGTGTAACTTCTGAGCATTCCTCTTTGCTATTCATTGTAGGGTTCTTAGCATGTGGCGTGCATTGTCCTGCTTTTCGTTTGCCATCTAAATGTTCTTTTATACGGATACACAAAGGCCTGCCCGTTTGGCCAATATATTCATCGTCGCAACTATTACAAGAGATCAAGTATATCGTACCTGAACTCATGCATTCACCGTTCCTGCCATAAGGGCAAATCAAGCAATTTGTTGTTTCACATAGACGGTCATACAGGCGGTTACGAACTAATTGACGACGTAGAGTAGCCGGTGGTATTTCAACTATCGCTACCGATTCCTCTAGACCTGCCTTTCTTAAGCATCGTTTTATAGCTACGCTTACTTCATCGCTTATAAAAGGCAACATAAACGGGACTTTCTTTTGGCCTTACGGCAGGGACAGTGATTGCATGAGTTTAGGTACGATATACCTGATCTCTTGTAATAATTGAGGCGATGAATATATTGGCGAAACGGGTAGACCTTTGTGAATGCGTATAAAAGAACCTAGAAGGCAAACGAAAAGCGAGACAATGCACGCCACTAGGGACGCATAGGATACAAAAGCATAGCGGAGACGATTTTGATGTAAAAGTCAATATCCTTACACAGGAGACTAAAACACCAGCGCGAAAACTTTTTGAGGCTTTTTGGATAAATGCCAAAAACCCTGCAATGAGTAGCAGGGAGGAATCCCCATAGGTCACACGCGACCTGGCCCCGTATGCTCGCATCAATTTCTGATGTGGTGTGGCACAATCATCAACCATATGCGACTATAATCGGCTCTTCTAATCTTACTCATTGGAAGTCACGTAAAGAAGCGGTGAGTTTTTTCGAGAAGCTGTTGATCATGTAATTACCATAGAGTTTTTCGTCTTTCTGTAAGTGTTATTGAAGCGTTTGGTCTAGTAGATTGTATATCAGTGTACCCTTCCAGGCTCTTAAGAAGGCAGTACTGCCGAAATGTCAGCTACTGTTGTATTGTATTGTGTTTTTCTATGGAAGTAAATGTATACTGTACAACAACCTCGCGATTGCTGAACAAAAAAACGACGCATTCATGTTCCAATGCCAGAGGTTAATAGAAAGTCGATCCTGGAATTGGAATTTTTCTCCGAAAATACAGCTAGGAGTAAATCTGTGTCAGTAATCGTCGTTTACAAGTGAGATGCTCTTTTATGGACCCACAAAAGGCCGACGATTGCCTGTGCTAAGGATTGGAAGCACTCAACAGACCTAACCCAGAATTCCGAAGAGATCCGCATTCAATTACATTCATGATGAGGAATAATTCCTAGAATGGCAGTTGAAGCTAAACGTTAACCCGAATGCGTTCTTGGATGATGGATGCAGAGTAACGAGCCAACAGCGAGCATCGTCCTTTTCAGAACCAGGAAACGCTCGTTTACACGTGCATTCTCTGTCAAGCATTGTTTTTACTCTAAAGGAAAAGCCCAAAACCCTCCACGAATTTTATATGTGGTCCAATCTTCTAGGAAAACCATTTTTTTACACGGTCCATCTTTCGCATTTACTCTGTGGATGCCAGCACTACTCGCATTCGAATCGTGAATGTCGTTGAAGACTGATCGAGTCTATTCTCACTGAAGTCCTGAGATTGCTGGGTTTGGGCGTTCCCACTTGGACTGCAGGGAGTAAACTTCTCCTAGATGAGTCTAGTACCAATTTTCTGACTCAAGAGTGCTGAAAGGCTTGGCGAAGTCGGGGCGGCTGGGTCGAATCAGCACCATGTTTATGGTGGTGGACATGACACCTATGTGATACACATCCTCTGTAGGAAAACCATTACAGGGTTCAGAAAATTTTAGAATGGTACCTGTTTCATGGCGAAAATAGATCTGGGTTATCAAATGAGGCCTTCTATTTCTTCCAAAACGCTTTAAAAGTTACACACTGTTTTAAAATCTTGTCTATTGTTCGTAATTCCGAGTTGAAAATGTTTTACGCTGTTTTGTCTCCTTGCACCTTGAATAAGATTACGTCTCCCATATCAGTGTTTTTTTATGCGGAAAAAAGTTGAATGCACGTTACTTGTGTGTTCGTTCCCGCCATCTTGTAAGAGACTAGGAATATCTGAGTTCATACCTGCGTTTAGGTAAGTGGAGAGAGGTGAAGGAGATGGCGCAGGAGCAATATTGTGTCGTGCTTATACGTCCCATCATCGCCACAGACTTCACTAGACTTATCCTTTCCACATACTTCCCACTTAGTGACAGTGCTTAATTCTTTAGACATTAAATGCAGGGTAAGTGAGGCCTTGTTTTCGCTGGAATGAAACAAACGCGTTAACATTGAAAACACACTGGCCGAGAGAAAGGCAAAGCAATGGACCCAGTTAGTGTGATGGATAGCGCGAGAGCGCTTGGAGGGGTAGTCGCGAGTTCGAAACCTTACTAGAGGTTTCAAGTCTTGCTCATATCTGATCATCTATATGATTGTATTGCATATAATACCCTGCCATGGAAGAGAAGGTAGTAGATAAAAGTCAAATATACCGAAGACATGTTTCTTATAAGCGCTTGTTTTGTGTCCAGTGGGTGTGAATTAAAGTTGATGGACTGACAGATTTTCGTATCTTGGTATTTGTCAATACATTGTAACAAAGTCGTTTTTGGGAAGACTTACTGGAACCTTTAAGAATGAAAATCATTTTTATTTTGGTCTGGATGGCAAGTGAACCTAAATAGTGCTGCTTGAAAACGTGTTCTTCAAGTTTACTGTTTGTTTCTTTGTCAGTCACCCTTTTTGAAAGTCACACTCATCTTTAGAAGAGGTCATGTCGAATGAGTATGTTCGAACCATGCCCGTCCTTGTTGCAGTAAACAAAAGTGAGATCGAAGGAGCAGCACCAGCAGCAGAGGTGAATTATACATTTGAAATTAAAAATTTAAAATTTAAATTAAATTAATATAAATTTGAATTCCTTTTATGTTATTTTGATGAAATTAGCAGCTAAGTCATTTGAGTACTACCATAATTGAGGGCGCGTCTAGTGCAGTGGCCGGAGGCGCCTTGAAATACACATGGGGTCGATCTCCTCGCCCAGGCCCACCAAGCGCTTCATCCCTCCTGGATCGGCAAATTAGTAGCAGAGCTGTTCGAATGCATGGCGCGTCCTTCAGGGTAGATCAACGCAGAGCTTCAAGCTTCTATCATAATAGTATCTCGTTTTGGGTGCTGAACCTCACGTTAGTGGTAATAGTACGTGAAACGATAGGAGCAAGTTTTTGTACTGAATTACGAAGCCAATAAAAAATCGGTTTCTCGCAAAGATTTTATATACAGTATGCAATGGTCTGATCTCACATTTTACACCAACGTATATTCCCTTTTAGAACTCTGGTTCTTACTTTTTTTTAAAAAAAGCAAGTAATCACCTCTTTGACTCTGTGGTTTTTTGGCTTTACTGGATGGAGTGTTACCCGATTAATTTCGAAAGCAGAATAGTACTGAAACCTAGGGAAAGGATGGGGATGGTGGTGCTTACAGCTATTTCTGGTGATACTGCGTGTTTTTATATGAGCTTCAGTTTTGTTTTGGCTTAATTCCTTAGGAATTAATGTGGTGATGTGTTCGACTGCACATTGAATTTGTGATAAATACAAAGTAAGTGAAAAGTCAGAGCTTAGGAAATACGTCTTGGATTGTTCGAGTACTTAGTTACGTTATGAAGGAAAGAGTTCTTGGTATTTTTTGACGCAGCCTTTACTTTGTTGGAGTCAGGATTTACTCTGGAGCGTGAACTTGCAGTCTGGTAAGATGCGATTGGGTTTTGTAGATATCAGTAAACTTCACGTTTACTCAGCGTGTAAATTCATTGTGTTTCTTCAGGTGCGTCGTATTCTATACGATGATCAACACATGGGTGATTTGGCTGTGTTGCCTGTGTCTGCTCTAGAAGGTACAAATATCGATAGATGTGTTCGATGGATCGTCCGAACACTAGCCAGTCAACCACTTTATCTATGATTTTTTCTTAGATTTTATTTGCCCTGATTTGATAGGTATACGATATTGGATTTGTTGTAATCAGAGTAAATCGTGGTCTTGATTTTGACATTCATAGTTGATAGCCAGAAATCGAGTAGGGCCTAGTTCTCATAGGCTGGCTTTTTCTATTTGTTTCCCGACAATATGTGGGTAGGTGAATCAAATAGTGGTAAAGCTTCTCATTGTATTATGTGGTTCTCACTTAAGTGGTACAGGTTTGTGTCAATTCATTCCTCCTTCAGATAGTTCTACGTAGATATGCTAAACTGTAAGTGGTGGGGTGTTCCCCGTGTAATGTCTATATTTCAGTAGTGTATCCAATTCCATATCATTTTTCGCGTATCAAAATCCTTAGATGATTTATGATTGGATAGGTGTCGACAGTTTTTTTTTGTTCATTTAGGAACCTGATTGTCGCTTAGTTTATCTGAAGTTTATTATGGTCAGGAAAGTTCAGTGTAAGGTAATTCAGGATCTATGGATCAGTGCAAAGTGAATGAACGCATCGCATACTTTGTTTATTTTTATTTCGGTCAGAAAATCTCTATAGCCAGATTTTCCATAACCAGAAATTGGAGAACATCTCAATAGTATCTTGGACTTTACACTGGTTGTTAAAGGATTTTTGACGTGGTGAGCTCTTCAGCGTACAAAGAATGTGGTAGAATGTGGTAAAAAGGCTGAAGTACGTCAGTGGTAGGTTGACGTAGTTTCGCAATGTGACGAGTCTGTCGGTTAGGGAGGAAATGTGCTAAGGTTTTGACCGTTTTTAATGTAAGGCAACAATTGCGTCTTTCATCTCGGCAGAGCAAACTTCTGCGGTTGTTGGGGTATTTGCTAGGAAGCGCGTGTAGTGTTCCATTGATAACGCAGAACAACATTATGTGAGTCAGGTTTCGGCACAATTTTGTGCTTGGTTCTTGGAGCTGACTATAATCTGTAAAGGAGCTCAATGATTTTGGGTCACCATTGACATTCAGTCGGTTTTTATCTCTTCATGGACGTGACTATGGAACTTCATCATCGACGAAGTCAAAATAAACCAGTAAGAAAGCATCAAGAGTGGTTCCCAACTAGTTCGAAGGGTGGCAATAAGGAAAATGTGAAAGGAAATATTTGCTAAAGAATATGCAATTCACATTTGCAAGTTATATAGATGTCGATGGTTAGTGGCTCGGTCTTTTTGCCTTTGAAACGAGCTCGACACTATCTGAACGAACGACAAATCAATGACGTTGAGGTGTCGTTGAACAATGGCAGAAATATGCTACTTCCGCCTAGTACCCCTAGTTCGAAGAGTTGGAACTCTCACTGATGCCCAAATATATTGCTAACGCTGAAAGACAGACTCTACCAGGCTGAGAAGGATTTTGACAGTTCCATCTAGAAACTTAGCTAAAAGTAAACCAATACAAGGAATCATCGCTGCCCTGGTATCTACCAGTTGCAAGCTGGCAATCTCCTAATCATAAGGGACCGCAACACGGTGTGGTGTCACCTCTGGAGAACTCCGGCTAGGGTAACCTTGGCATTCCAGGGAACCACAAATAGTCCGACCTATAATGAATCGGCCTCAGTGCTCTGCATACTAAGTGCTTCTACCTACGACGTCGTGCGGTGAGACAACCGCCGAGAGGTGATAAAATCTCGGGTTTCAGGGAGCGCCACTGGAACTAAACTAAACGAACGAGCCCATGACAAGGCAAGGAAACTGTTTTTTGCGCTCCAGGCATAGTACCAAAACAGTCTCCTCATATTTCCTCAAGTCGATTCTCACGATCTTCCTGACGCCGCTGATGGCATCAAATTCGATGAGATTGTCATTCAAGAGATAAAAAGCAGAAAGAGCGACATACGCGAATTACACAACGGAACCATTGTTATTAGTGGGGCGAAAATTGTGTCACGAAAGAATCAGTGGTGTAGCGTACGCTCTATCATTTACCCTTCCTTCACTCAACTTTTCGAGTCTTATGGGATCCTTTCATTTCTCATGACCATCCCCTGCCTTCAAGCGAATTATCGATTCGGAAGATCGCTGTCATGAACTTCCGCAAAATATTCTCAATTTTTATTTACTGCCTACTATTTTAAATGGCAAGGTAGTATGTGGAATATAACCATAATAATGCTGAGAAATTTTCAAAACTCCGGATCATTGGTGTCTGCCGTGGGGACTGAACTAGCTATTACTCTCTTCGGAGGCTAACGCGTTCACCACCACACCCATCGTTCGTTTCGCCGTTCTCTCAGTCGTGTTATTGGTCTATAGGTGCTATGACCAATCACCCATCAACAGGGTTGATCGGGGGAGCAGAAATCGGCATTGGACCCAGTTAAATAAAAATTGACGACATTGTGATTTATACAACTTCAGCTTCAGCTTAACTGGGTTCAGTGCCGACTTATCCCGATCCAGTGCTCCCCAGATCAATCCCGTTGACGGGTGATTGCTGGTAACACTTGTAGGTCAACAAAACGGCTGAGAGAAAGACGAAACGGAGGACTTGCATGGTGTAGTAGTGAACGCGTTAGCCCCGGAAAGGCGATTAGCGTATTCGGTCTCCACCGCAGACACTAGCGGTCCGGAGATTTGCAAATAACTCAGAACGAGTAACAGTTCAATGTTACTAACAGTGATCGATCATATTTTCCTTAACATAAGATGATATACTTTTGACATATCATGGTACTGTCATTTTGTACTGGATCTGATCAGCTCTCCCGTATAGGATTTGATTTATTTATAAACTGAAGAAAAACTCTTGTTGTCGCCCAATAAGGAAAGAAGAAGACGTGTATTACGAGAAAATTCTCAATTAAATCTTTTTTTCATATAACTGGGAGATAAAGAAAGACCTGACTGAGGACAATGGGCTATTTGTCAGTAGGCGTAAAACTTGTGCTGAATACGCCTCAGTTCTGCAAATAAATGGAATCAAGTCGGTCGATTGGTAGAACAAAGGTATACGCCTTGATGGCGAATTTCTGTCAAATGCTTTGCTTTGCTGACACTGTCATCCTTACTATGAGTACCAGTGAAGCAAAGGCGTTACCCATTGAGTTCAACGAAGTGGGAAAGAGCGTACAACGGCGCGTAAATTGAAACGGAAACCAGTTTTTGAAAAGTCCGTGTTGAATAAATCGGATCGGATCGACCTCTGATTACACTGACCAACGTGCATAAGGCCTTTCAATGAACATGGAGAACAACATGGTGGAAGAATTACGCAGAAAAGGGAGAGCACCATTTGCCGCGTTCGCGTCTGCCAAGGAGTCCACCAACCAGTTAACGGACCTGAAACTCGGCACTCATCTATCATTCAACAGTTCTCCAAGCGCACTGTTGTACAGCAGAGAAATGGGTTGATACGTCAACCACGCCAAGAATCCTGCTTACTAGCCAAAGAGTGCTTGAAGTCATCTGAGGTATATGCGACACATACAACGTCTGGCCAGAATACGCAGAGAGGGTATGATCGAGTAATTGTAAAAGAAATGGACTGAAATCATCGCTCAAAGCGCGGAAAAAACCCTTTACCGCTAATGTTCCTAGTTAAAGATATCGCATTAAATTATACGCAAAGGGAACCTATTTCATTGTCTCAAGTGTTAAAGCTTTTACGATAAAGCTCTCGGCGTTGATCAATCCCTGAGTGGTGCGGCATGCATCCAACTTCATGAAGGATCGTTTGAGGTGATTGAATGCATCTTATATAATGCTGAGATGTTTGCAAAACTTCGTACCGCAGGTGTCTGCGGTGGGGAACGAACGCGCTATTGTCCTTTCCGGGGAGTAACGCGTTCACCACCAACATACCTTACCATTAAAAAAGAAGCAGTAAGTAAAAAGGTTGAGACTGTGAATACATCTTGTCTATACAGTGCAATTACTTTCGGTGACCAACCGATATATCAAGTCACTGCTGCTATTATCCCAGACAAGTCTGCTACCTATTCTCCGATTAGGGAGAGATGGAGAGCTTGATGAGCTCACGGCTCAGGATCGGATCAACGATCACGTTTGCATCATAGGGCGCTTCTAACCACTGCGCTAGACACCTTCATTCGCGAGGACGTCAATGTGCTCGATCAATTTTTTTATTGTATGGTGAGGAGGAACTAAAGGCGCCTGTGGCGCGGTGGTCGGAGGCGCCCTGCAACATACATGTGGAATCGATCCCAACACCGATGGCCCTCCAAGCCTTTTATCCCCCCGGGGTCGGCAAATTGGTGCCAGACTTGTTTGGCAGGATAGTAGCACTGGTTCGATACATCAGCAGGCGACCGCGAGTCATTGTAAAAGCCAGATATGCGTTCAATCGCCTCCAAACGATGCTTAATAAAGTCGAATGCATGGTGCATCCTTCAGGGATTGGTCAATGCCGAGGACTTTTCTTATGGTGAGGAGAGGTATCTCCGTAGATAAACAAGTAGGTGGTAGCATGAATACTCAGATTTTGGTACCAACTTTTTTTTTCAAACCTAGTTTCGATTTCTTGTTTAACTACACATGTACATGATTGGTACCCGCTTGCTTCGGCGTTTTTTCAATTGAGTACGCTGATGTGTAATCATCATGCAGAGTCGTTTTGGATCGATTTCGCTCATGAATTCGAATTCAGCTTCAGAATCTCGTTTCCATGAATCTCAAGGTGGATTGTCAGGTGTTCAGCACTGAAAATCGCCGTCACTTATGCGTCAGAGGGAGGTTTGTTACTCAACTAGATTTCATCATGAACGGCAATGAACCCTGTGAATTTTTACCGGCTCACAAACGACAATATAATAGCTTATGCTTTTATTACTCTGTGGTTTAACTTGAGAATCTGCTAGATCTCTGTTTGAGTTATATGCTTGAAACTTCGAAGTGCACCTCTAAAGATACCATCGATGCTTCTGTGGTCTCCAAGGAGAATTTCAGACTACGTTTCGACGAGGTCTTTTCAACATCTCGAACTACTTGAGGAGATATTCTGCAATATTTTGCGACTAAAAAACGACGTCATGGTTTATGATAATAGCATGAATACAATAAGAATAAAAAGCCAACGAATACTTACATAGTGGGAGATGGGGGGGGGGGGGGGGGGGGGGGGGGGGGGGGGGGGGGGGGGNGGGGGGAGGGCTGGGAGTGGGGGTGGGTGGTATAAGACCATTCATAGAAGATTGGTTGAGTAGAGAAAATAGCAAGAACACTGGTATGGTATTTCTACTAAAATGACTAAAAGAAATATCCTTGTACATACTTGTAATTTACAGTGTGCGATATATACCGCCGGCTTCCTAGGCGCTGTACTCTCACCGGGCCACGTTTGGTAGTACTGTGTTTCTCACGCGGTTTATGAGTTATACTTGCGTCAGAGTGTGGACTGGGTGGAGCATCGTGCTGTCGATGATCTGTGTCGGATCGGCGCTCAGCGATGTCGACGAGATTCGCCGCGAATGAGGCGTCGTCGCCCATCGCAGGCGCTGCAAACGCTGAGACAGTTATTAAGCAAAAATGCAGATACGGTATGTATATGGCTCAGTATTTGGATGAATTTACCTAAACTATCTTCTTAAGGGACTGTAAAGTCGTTATCTCATTTATTGAAGGAATGGATGCAATGACGTTCCACGAACCATTGCGAATTAGGGTCCCAAGTTGATATGAAGAACAGAATTTGAGTTATATACTATCATGAAATGGATCGCGTATTGAAGTTTCCAATTTTAACTGAGCTAAGGGATTTCGTAGGGGTAGAACGCAGTGCTTAGTGATGCGGTCCATCAAGAAGCAACGTCCTGGTTTGACTACGCCCCAACGCTCAAACCCAATTCACGCGGGAACGCCTTATGTTAGCGTTCCACAAGATTGCAAGGAAATTCGACTCGAGCGGCATTCCACGACATTCATAAAGAAGGCGAAATCTTCAAGCAACAGCTGAAACAACATGCGAACTATTCAAAAACCTTTGTGGACGATGCATGCAAGGAAAACGAATCGAATGCAAGAAGTGGTGGGTTCCACACAGTAGATGTGGTCACGGGTCATGTTCAAAATAAAAAAAACCAAGCGATTGTAGTGCTATGAAATGATTTGTGAATGTACTGAATGAAGGCGAATTTCACGAAGCTGAAGGAAAACGGTGATTTTTTGTTTTTAATCACAATATTGCTAAAAAGCTATAGGAGATGTTTGGCATATTGCTGGAGAACTGGATTTAACGCGATATATTACTACTATCACTTTGGAACACTTTTTTACTAGATATAACAATCCTGCGTGTGTATAAATAAATAAAAGGATAAAGCTATCGGCGTTGATCAATCTCTGAGGGATGCGCCATGCATTAGACTTCATTACCCATCCGTTGGAAGCAACTGGATGCATATCTGGTCTTTACAATGAATTCCGGTGGCCTACCGATGTATCGTGCCAGTGGTGCCATCCTCCCAGACAAGTTTGGTACCAATTCACCGACCCCGGAAACGTGAAGGACTTAGTGGGTCTGTGGAGCAGGGATCAATCCAATGCGTATTGCAGGGCGCCTCCGACCACTGCGCTATAAGCGCCTATTCTTGTTGATGCAGTTGTTTTATAGTCCATAACGGACTTTCTTATACCGAGTACGGGCGTGCTGCATTCAGACAGTTTCGTATAATCTCGCTTTCCTCATAGGTTGGTGTTGGAGCGAAGAGCAACATTTCTCAATGTCTCATACGGATTTGCATCTCTCTAAATGTAAACGTCCGATTCGGGTCCTCAATTGTATTGACATTGATGTTTATTGCTAAACGTGCATTGACGAGGATGGCAACTCTTATGAATCCTGTATCACGTTTCGAAGAACGGTTGTCCCGTGGTCACAGTCGGCGTTTTAACAAAGCCTCTTCTCATCTCTACACGTGTTTGTACTGGTTCTATTTATCGCTGTCGTATTGCGAGCTGTTTCATTGTTAGGGCCTGAAATTAATTATGCATTAATACTCAAGGACAGCGCGTGTAGCGCAGTGGTTAGAGGCGCCCAGCAATGCACATGGGACCGTTTCTGCGCGCCAGGCCCACCGAACCTTCCATCCCTTCGGGGTCGGCAAATTGGTGACAAACCTGCCCCAGAGGATAACTGCGCTGCCTCGATGCATCAGTAGGCCACGGCGATCCATTTTATAGGCCAGATATGCATTCAATCATTTCTAATGATGCTTAATGAAGTCCAATGCATGGTGCACTCCTCAGTGATTGATCAACACACAAAGCCTTACCCTTTATCCCTTATTACCTACGGAAAATTGCCAACCCATAGCTTGAGCCAAGCGTAATTGCGATTTCTGAGGTATCACGAGTAGAAGACGAGTGCACTCGTGGAGGTACTCTAACTCACTTCCCATGGAGTTCTTGGTCAGTTGAGCTTTTTCCCGGATCGACATTCAAGACAGCATCCACCGAAAATGTGTAAAATTGTCTATACACACACTTTGTGTGTGTGACTTCGGCATAGATTTATGTCTTGGATCAACCTGCGTCATAGGGTCAACTCCAAGCTCGCTTTTGATTTGTCTTTAACCCTAATCCATTATTTGGATATACATCAGCTAGCGTCCAACTAGGCGGTTAGAGAGCTACCATTGAGTGAACTACACGGATTGCAAAATTTTGTTTTTAACCTTGCTACATCGTCTAGCAAAATTAAGGTTGAGACTTGTGCCTTAGAATTTATAGTTCTGGTGCTATATCCTAAATCCTATTTGTGTAGCACTTGCAACATCGAGTTAGACTTCAGAACTCAAGCCTTTCAATAAAGTGAACCGTTGTTGACGTCATAATTGTGACGGAAAAGAACAAATGATGTATCTAACAGAAAATGCGGGGCTATCGAACATACGAATTAGTTGCGACTGTAACGTTTCGTTTTCCCATATTCGATTTTTGTGTTTACAGGTATGCTATGTGCGTAGCTTAGCACCTTTTATGGATGCCAGATATTAGCGCAGAAAAAGTCAGATGACAGAATTCGATCTGGTCTCTCCAGATCAATCCCGTTGGCGGGTGACTGCTGATGGCACTGATCGGTAGAACTAGCTGGGAGACAGGCGAAACGAAGGACCCGCATGGTGTGGTGGCGAACGCGTTAGCCCTCGGAAAGGACAGTAGCGCGTTCGTTCCCCACTGCAGACACCTTCTGTCCGAAGTTTTACAAATATCTCAGGACCACTGTGGTTGTATCACACATAATACCCTTCCGTGAAAAATTGTGATAGTCACTAAATAAAAAAGTGAACAAGATGACAGAACTGTTATGGCTGAATGGGAAATGAATTTAGTAACTATCTTTTACAACATGATTAAATGTTTGAAAAAAATTTTAAGAACCAAGAGTACTTAGCAATGTTCTCAGAATCCACTTTGAAAAGAAAGTCCACTAAGCTCCTGGGTTCGACTTGACTTTTTGTTAAGGTAATAATGATTAGCCAAAATATAACTTACCTCAATGAATGTTCCTTTGGCAAATGAAAGCATGTATATAGCAAACAGGGGAACGCTTGTAACGGACAGCATTCTCAGGAACCAACCGAAACCAACTGACCATTTTGGGAATGTATAATCAAGTAACTTCATCGGCGACAACGACGCTTGCCAGACAGTCATCACGAAGATGGCCTGAAATGTAATCTAGTTATACATTTCACTAATCTTTTAAATATATCGATGAAGGGACAAACGCTTTATAAGCTCTTGTTTCACCGATTGACCTTCAATAAGCCTTGGCTTCCGGTGAGCTCAACATCTCTCGATAACGGGAAATCTTTGCTCTGTTGATTGTGTTCAGTTTATTTTTGAAGTCTCAACAGTCTTAATCCTTATCTCGTGTATCCTGTGCGTTGCAATAGCGAGTTTTTTCAGGGTTTGGTGATACCGCTAATATTCAGCGTTTCTAGCCAAGGAATACCCTCTTGTAGCTTTTTGGCCGTTGTCCATTAGACTCTCTACATTCAAAGGAAGATTTATGAACTTTTTCAGCGTAGAAGAAAAGACTCTCATCAAAGATGCACTCAAATCAAATATTCTCAATGATGTTTCTATACAAATATTTATGTCGGCATATATACATGTATATATCCACGACCTGCCTCATAAAGGAATCTTTTAGCCGGTTAGTCGCGAGGCAACGTGGCGCGTCAGTTTGCGGACAGCGCAGGCCAAAAGCGACGTTGTAGTTCTATGAGACAAAGGTGGATCCAGGGAATGGAGTCCTTGTTTCCGCTGCGCCGATTTAACACACGCCTTCGGTGTTTATGAGATGCATTTATGTATGCGTGCGTGGGTTTGTTCTCGTTTATGCGGATTGCACTCTGCATGACAATTCGGCCAAAGATCTGCAACCAAGTAACAGGGAAGTGTATGTGATAGTCGCCTCTAACAAGTGAGCTCCCTCTCTACTATGGGAGAGACTGAAAAGCTATCTGCGAATATCGCATGTTCAGAGTTCAGCGAGCTTACGCCGCTATCAAAGGCTGAACATGGTGAAATAATTGGGTCTCATCTCTTTAATTCCGAAAGAACCCCTGGTAAAGCAGTGTTTGGTACGATGGATATAGAGAACCTGACAAAACCTGAGGACCATTTTATGCTGCCTAAATCCCAAAGGATGAAGGTGACGATCTCTGCATACAATGGACGCTAGCTTGTACATGAGTCCTCGATAGAAAACTTTATAATGCAGGCAAGAAGGATAAAGTACGATGCTATCGGATTGGCTGAGACAAGGAGATGCCGCCCATTAAACGCCGTCTGTGACACCGGAGAAGAACTGGGAGCACGCGACGGTGCAGTTGTCTAGGGCTGCGGTTGTCAGCACAAGTTTGGCTGTGAACATCAGCCATTCGAACAACTAACAACCCGGATTGGATGTTTACAGTTGAAGAGATGTGGATCAATACCAGTTTGTCGGCCTTCGTCTCGTCTACGCACCGACATCAACCTATGGCGAAGACGAAGTCGATGCGTTTGATATGGAATTAGAGAAGTTCTATAAAGCCGGACATTCTTTAAGGGCATTTTGGAGATTTTAAGGCTAGGAATGAACTCGGAAAAACGTCTAGCGAATGCCACATTGAGACCAACCGAAACGAACAACGTGAGCGGCCTTTTGAGTTTATCATGACGACCAAGACCATTTATGGTAACCTGGAATTTCCGAAGTCCCAATCTCAAAGCTGAACATTGGAAGCATTCAACAGAGAGTAGGCACATCACAATGAATCGAATGTCTTGCCTAATCGATGTTGTGGCTGTCCCAAAATTCTACACGGGATCAAATCATCACCTCATTTGTGCAAGAATTAATTTATCGCGGAAAATAGGGACAACCGCCAAATTCAGAAGAAGGAATCCTGAAACCACCATGGATGGACATTCATTTAGTTCATCAGTCGACTGTTGGGGTGATGCCGTTCCCAACAACATCGATGAGCAATACGATCGGCTCATTCGACATCTTCACGTTAGCGATATGAAAGCTGAGAGCTCGAAATTCACCAAAAGACGTCTGACGCCAGAAACACTCGACTTGATAGGCCAGCTTGAAATCGCGCGAGTTACGGGCGACCACGTTCGAACCTGCAAAACAATGCTGACAGGTGATAAAACCATATCTTAAAGAGGGAAGCGCAGTGGTTTTGGTCGAAGCTGCAGAGGCACGGAAATGCAACAGCAACGCTCAGCGAAACACCGTCAATTACAAAACAGATTATTTTGCTCCGACTCCCAGATGGGACAGTTACAACTACCGGAAAGGCAATGAAGAAAATCATTCACTTTTACTATTACGATCTAGGACCTGAGTATCTGAATAGAGGATTCAATACTACATTCTACTGTCGTCATGTAGAAGAAAGGAGGATGGATATGTCGTCCCGCCGGTTCTCTCTTCCGAAATCTGATCTGGTATTTCATCGGTGAAGAATCGAACAACACTAGGTCGGGACAGGATAACATCCGAACACCTGAAGAATTTCCCGCCATTAATCATAGACACGATAGGCTCTTCACTTGTCGTCTAATTACCTGTTATTATTGTTGCCTGTCAAACTGCAAAATTCCTACTCAGTGGAAGACCAGCAAAACCATGTTATTCTTCGAGAACGGTGGCCTCCACTATATTGGTAATTATCGCCCAATCTGCTCGCTGTCTGTTGTCTACAACCTCTTCACTCGAATCATTCCAGACGGGATTAGCAAAACACTGGACGAAGGACAGGCATATGAACAAGCAGAGCTTCGAAAAGGAATCACTATGATCGACCACATTCACACGATAGCAATATTCATTTACGTATCGCGAGAGTACAAGAGACCGCTCTGTTTTACATTCATCGATTTGAGGAAAGCTTTTGACTCATTTGGGATCAACTCACTCAAAGAAGCCTTGGACAGGAAAGAAGTTCTTACTCGCTCAAAAGATAGACTTTCTATAAACCTCGGCATAGATAGTTGATATATTTATTTATATGATCTTATAAACTGATGCGAGGTTGGTGTAGGTCTTCGTTGTCGTTGTCGTTGTTGTTGGTGCTGTTGGTCAATGGCTGACGTTTCGGCGATTTCGCCTTCCTCAGAGCCGTGATGTTACGAGTGGGACTCGTAAACACCAACAAGACCAACAAAACCAACAACAACGACAACGACAACGAAGACCTACATCAACCTCGCATCAGCTAAAGAAGATCAGTCTATAAGTCCTTACTCAGTATTTAAGGATCTTCGTGAGCTATGTAAAAATTTTCAGTTGAAAAGACGGTGCTGGAAGAACCCTTTATTACTTAAGTGAGAGTGTGGATCCGAAGCTCAGGCTTGACACAAGGTGGGTTGGACACGTAGTGCGAGTGAACGACATCTGATGAAGAAAGACGGTTGGCGACTGGATTCCTCGAGATGCCAAATGGACAGCATGAAGACCACCTACCACGTGGTCAGAGTTCTTTACGAAGACCGTAGAAGGAAGATATAGTGCTCAACGAGTCACTAGAGCGAGAAGAACCCACTGGGCTACTCTTGCTTACGACAAGGAGAAATAGATTTAATGGCGCCAGCTCGAGGCACTCGACGATCAACGGGACAACAGGTGATATTGGTGATATATATGTACACGTATGTATACCGATACACACACGCGCAACACACACACACACACACACACACTTATGCGAATGTACCTAAGCATGTCTACATAGGTGTTAGAACTCCAAAGCATTCCGACGTATTAGAGACGTTCATTGAATACAGTTGTCTTTCAAAGAATTGCATAGCACTTCTGTTACATGTTTCTAGCACACGTAGTGCAGTGGTTTGTTCTGCAAGAGACACATGGTCATTTGTTCGATCGCACGCCTCAGCGAAACGATCACTATCCCTCTATGGTCGGCAAATTGGTACCCGACTTTTCTGAGGATGACAAATATCGCTAGATCTTATTTGGTAGGTCAAATATTCACTCAATCATATCTATAATGTATGGTATCAAGTGCATGGTACATCTAAGGGATTCATCAGCACCTTATGCTTTATGGTTTAATTCCACGACTGAGCTATCACTACCAGGGCACTCTCTACATTTTACATTCACCTACCGCGACAATAATCTTTTCAAAATCCCTCAAGCGAGAAGAACGCTTTGGACGAATTTAAATAACATACAGTCTCAATGGTTATTGGTTTAGGAGAAGACGGGTGGCGCAGTGGTAGTAGTTCCGTTCATCAAGAACACAGTTCGACCCTTCCGCTCTGCTCATCGAACATGTCATTACTGCGGCGTCGGGAAGTTGGTACCAGATTTGTATGAGCCAAATTCACTCCTTCGAATCCACATAGGAACGCTCTAGCACAGGTCTCAAAGAAGGATCGACTCAGCCAGCATTCAACGAAATCCACAAAAAGAAGACAACAATGCCCAATCAGTACCGAAACCCACACGTGAAGAGGTTAAAGATCTTTGAGGATGATAGATGCGCGGAAACGAAACGAATGCAAGAAGTGCTGTGATTCACATAGGTAACATGAGCATGAATTATGTAAAATGAAGCCAAAATAATGTAGGTTCAAAACCTCTTATATTGAGAAAATGTATTTAACGAATAGGAATATGAAAACAACAATAGCAAAACATCAACGTCTTCTTGTCATTTAACTTTCCTCCCAAGCTGTTCATCACTTAGTAAGCAGACCACTTTGTAATAATTCTATCTGATTCCTTTCTCCGTCTTAAAAATCTTTGTGTAGAATCGGCATGGTTTCGATTGTACCTTATCACTTTTATGTTGACTCACCGAAATGAACACGGGACACATCATCCAGCATATTCTCCAGTAGATTCCTGGATAAAAACCGAGCATCGTTCTGCAAATTGTTTTGAATAGCACACACTTGCACTTACTTTTTATCAACGTAAATTAGTGCTAGAGGGTTTGGAGCTATCTAGAACATATACACTGTATTAAAAATTCATCTGCTCTATCTGCTGTCTACCTCCGTCTGACAGCTTCGATGGTGGTGCACGTGGGCAGCTTATTTTGAAATTGCCCTCTTAGGAATTTTGCAGTGCTGATAATTCTAGACTACCAACTTGACATCATTGCTGAATCGGTCAATTCCGTAGAACCAACAGACGGCAACCATTTCGCATGTAACGATGAACAGTACTGACAGTGATACGCCATACTCATCCAGGAAAGGAATTACATACTGCCCTCCCTTTAAACAACAGATTATTGAAAACAAGGTTACATAGTTAAGATAACTTACGTAGCTGATTGCTGGGAAACTGCCAAAGTAGTAGAGCGAACATACGGCGCCGACGAACCACTCTCTTTTCCTCTGAAGGATACGCCACTCGTCGCATAGACCGGTGACCAGTGCTTCGATACCAGCAAACTGAAGGAGTAGAGGCGATTTTGGTTCTTCACAGCGGGTGAATCGAGCATGAAGTAATTATATTGTGTTTTATAGCGCAATGTCAGCAGAGTTTCTGGAAATGTTATGCAACACATGCATGGCCACTGGTTCGAGAACCCAACGAGTGAACCCTTATCCATCCACGGTCAACAAATTGAGTTGCCTGTGGAAAGCTACTTCCGGTCCACAGAAGCCGATTTCTGCTCGTGGTGGAAACGTGAGAATAACCACAAGGATGCTGAGGTGTGAGCAAAATTTGGAATCTTAGCTAGGCTTCGAACCTGGCATTACACTTACTGGTGCTCACGTGCTATCCACTACACTAACCGAGGCTCTAGCTTTGCCTCTCTCAGCTAGTTTTTAACTCTATCGGCTGCACTGTAGCTATGCCGCACATCGCACGCTGCCATAAAAAAAAGGGTAGGTAGCGAAGTAAAAGTTAAGACCAGGGAATACCCTAGTAGTGCTATCCTATGATTCCATGGAGTTGCACCAGTGTTCAACATCGTTCATGAAGACGAAGTCTTTAAGTAGAATCTGAACCCACACGCAAATCAGAAGACGTTCGAAAACGAAAGATACGGGAATGAACTTAATGAAGGAAGCGCTGAGACACACAAAATATGTGAAGACAAATCAGATAAGTAAAAATAAAATTACTTTCCATATAAATTACCTTTCTAATAGAAGGTCGCAAATATCACGCGACAATCAGCTATGTTTCAAAGCATCGCGCTCCTTCAAAAATAGCAATGTAGATTTATGCTTGATGTTAAGGAATGCAATGTGGCTATTTTATTGCTGTCATCATCTCATAATATTGTAATCACTATACTAAGTTGTTCAGTTGACCAATCGACGATGAGTGATGCGACATGCATTCGACTTCATTAAGCATCGCTGGAGGTGATTGAATCCATATCCGACCTTTACAATAACTCTCAGTGGCCTACCTATGTATGCAGCCAGTGCTGCTATCCTACGAAGCAAGTCTGGTATTAATATGCCGACCCCGGAGGAATGGAAGACTTGGTGAGCCACGTGCGCGAGAACCAACCCCATGTGTGTGTTGCAGGGCGCCTCGGACCACTGCACTACATGCACCCATTTCTTTTTATTAACATAGTTTCTAATTTATGTGATACTAAATACTTCTAGCATCGTCTTTTCAACTGTGCATTGAAGAACGCTGAATAATCTTTATTTCTGCTTACATAGCGACTAGCATTCTGACGTATACAATAAGGCAGGAAGTATTGTGGAATTGAAAAGATGGGCACAGAATCCGATGTTCTTTTTTTTCTTCGTTACATACTCGATCTTCCTGAAAGCTTACCAAGGCGTTCGCTTTCTCCTGCTTCTCTGTAGTTAAGTGGTTCATCATGTTAAATTCCCGGCTTAGATAGACGTAGCTGGAGCATGCGGAGATGTTCGTTTCCGTTGAGCGTGAATGATGGATGTGAAACCAAACCCTACCGCATAAATATCGTTTTTCTGAGATTTAGTTGAAGGCTAATCTTTCCAAAAAGAGTTATCAAATCTGGCTAGCATTCGCTTTATCTTATCAATACTTGGTGTTCTACCAATGATTGTTGTTATAAACGGTTTCGTTAGCCACGAGCCAAGTCACCCTACATGTGAAAGCGAAACGTCTAAGCACTTAAATAGGCGTAGATTTTCTTAGAGCTCAAAGATCGCACTTTTTTCTACCCTAGTGATCATACTTTTTTTTAACAATCTATAAAGCTCAGCTCAAAAACTGGGAGCTAATGAAAAGTGCTTGCATCTTTCTAAGTACAGTTTTTACGATAGCAAGAGAATGGTCATTTCACGATCGGGGGTCTTCAAGGCTACCATATTTTAAACGCAGGTGAGATTGTTATAACAGAACTGGTGTGCTGATAGCAAAGAATGGACCATAGATTGGTGGGAAACAGTCCTCAGTACACAACTGAGCACAGCTAATTTTTCCATGCGAAAATGCGCATCCTCATATTCGCAGGTCCAGAAAATGAAAGTTTGATTACGAAACTGTTTGTAATCACGAGGTAAGCAATTACTGATTTCTGAAACACTTACCAATCAATGAGCAGCCAAAAAACTCTTAACGGTTTTATTGAATTGAGAGATCGGAACTTCTATATAATTGAAGGCTTAGACCTATAAATAACTAAGGTGCGTGTGGCGCAGTGGTCTGTGGTGCCCTGCAACACACGCGTGGAATCGATCACCGCGCCCATGGCCCACCAGGCCTTTCTTCTCTCCGGGTCGGCAAATTGGTACCAGACTTGTCTGGGAGGATAGCAACACTGGCTCAATATATTGGTAGGTCACTACGAGTCATTGTAAAGGTCAGATATGCATCCAATCACCTCCAAACGATACTTAATGAAGCCGAATGCATGTCGCATCCCTCAGGGATTGATCAACGCCGAGAGCTTCATCCTTTTTTTTAATGGTTATTTCATGTTTTAATGAAAGAGGTTTAGTTTTAGATCTTGAGGACCTGTTCAAAATCCAATCTTTCGCAATGGGAAATCTAGTAATTGATTATGTAGATTATTGATGAGGAGGCGCTTTCGGTAATTATGGGTACGATCGGTGAAACTAGCAACTATATGTATTCTTTCTTGATAAGCTTGCACGAGGTTGATAAACAGATTTATTTTCGGCTAGCGTTTCGACGTCTTCGTCTTCCTCAGAGCCGATGATCCGAGTCGATGGTCCATGCTTGTTGTTCGTCTCGACGTTGCAGCTTCGCCTTCGTGTCGAGCCAGGTCTTCCTCAGTGAGTTCTTGATTAGTCACAAAGAGGTTTAAAGAAAGTCGGTTTCGAAATATTACTACGCTTTGTGCTAGCTGATAAAAACACCGACTTCTGCACGATGTGCGCAATGATGTATGCCCGGAACAAACACAAGTTGTTACCACCGGACATTATCATTATATATTCACCATCAACATCGTGTATAAAAGGGCATCACTGAGTGAGGATGCCTCATTCGAGGAGATGGCTCACTGAGGAAGACTTGGCTCGACATGAAGGCGAAGCTGCAACGTCGAGACGAACAACAATCATGGACCATCGACTCTGATCATCGGCTCTGAGGAAGACGAAGACGTCGAAACGTTAGCCGAAAATAAATATATTTATTAACCTCGTGCAAGCTTATCAAGAAAGAATACATATTGATTAGTCACACCGAGGCTTAGAGAAAGTCGGTTTCGAAATACTAGCAACTATTTTCTTCGTATTTTTGTTGAGCAAACGCGAGGTGTTATTATTCTTTGTTCACGATTAAGCTGACGTTTCGGCGGATTTCGCCTTCCTCAGAGCCTGGAAAGGTCAAGTTGATAGCAACTCACTCGGCCAGACGCCTCCATAACCAAACAAAGAAACTCTTAACCAAGATTTCAATCACTTTGAACACAGCTTTGCACACTCACCGCTTCCTATGGGGTTTCCTATGTCACGTAGAGACCAACCGTACAGAAATCACATGGAAGTATAATGTGCCCCTCTTATCAGAAAAGCAGTTTTATAAATAAATAATAAAACAATAAATAAATAAAATAATAGTTTTTAAATAAATAATATAATTTTAAATAATAAATCAAATAATAGTTTTTTAAATCACATAACACAGCTTCAATAGCGCACAAAAATATCGCTAAAGAACATCAAACAGATCACATTAGAATAGGTAATGCGCAAGAAAATTCAAGGCTAACCGTGTTAGGAGGCATAACTCTCCCTGACGGTGCGCGCTCGTTATTAGAATTGGGGCCGAGTTTCTCACCATCTGAACCCATTTCTAAGATAACCTTGCGTAGGGTCGCATGTGGTTTACATGAACTTCAAGATAGACTCCGCAAAAAGCTAGAGATGAAGCGCTAAATAGGTGCGAACAACGTCAAGTGGGGGCCCTACCAATAGCACCATTTCCCTCGACGTTCTTTAGACAACAAGAGCCCAATAATGAAGTTGATGTTAAATTTCGGACGTTTGCGAATGAAACTCTCAAAGTCCTTAATCACTATCGCGCGAAAAGATACAGCTCAAACTTCACTCCAGTGCAAAAACGTGGTATGCGAGAGCTACGAGAGCTGATAAGGTTGAAAACCATAAGACTATCCGTTAGTGATAAGGGTGGAGAGTTGGTCGTAATTCCTCTTCAGTTAGATGTGGAAATAACGAAAAAGCATCTTGAGGATGCTTCGCTTTATCGCCCATCATCTGAGGAGGAATTCAAAAGTAAATACCGAAAATTGAACCACGAATGGGCCAAAATGGCAAGGGCTGCTGGTTTAAAACCATCAGTTATCACTCAACTTAAAGTTGACTTACCAACATGCCCCGTCTTGTACTTACTTATAAAACTCATAAGTTAGTGACCCGGATGGTGTAGTGGTGAAGTGCGCTGCTCCCCGGTAAGGACGACAGTACGTGTTCGTTCCCCACTGCATACACCTGCGGTCCGGAGTTTTGCAAATATCTCAGCACTTCATACGAGTCATAAGTTAGTATCCAGCGATGATCTTGCGTCTAAAGATCCATCACTATTTAAGGTTAGACCTATCATTAGCTGCGTAGACGGGCCAACGGACAGGATAACATGGTTTTTAACCCTAATATTTAACCAGTTGTTGAAACACATTCCAGCCCATCTTACGAATACCCAGATGTTTCTGGATCGTCTACGTACTGCGCAACCCGACAGCGCGTGCGTGATGGAGTCCTTCGACGTTACCGCACTTTATACAAACGTGTCGAATGACTCCGCAATGCAAGCCATATTCGAACTTCTTACACAACATGAAGGAGAAATAAACATGTATGGCCTCAGGATAGAGCACCTGATGGCACTCTTAAAAGAATGCTTGAGCTGGTCAATCTTCAGATGGTCTGGAAAGTACTACGCTCAAATAAGAGGGTTGGCAATGGGACAACGACTGGTTCCAAGCCTTGCCATTGCATTTATGTCTAAGGTGGAAGCACCGGTGACTGATCTCGGGCCGCTACTCTACTGTAGGTATGTAGACGTCTGCTTTGTCCTTTGCTCAACACAAGAGGAAATTGACAAATGCTTCTAATTGTTAAATGCACAGTCAGAGTATATCAAGTTCACCCGAGAAAAGCCGAAAGAAAAATGGCTTCCATTTTTGAACGTACAAATTCACCTATCAGAAAATAGCTACATTACAAAGTGGTACCGAAAGCCAAGTAGTAAAAACATCTTGGTTCATTACCTCTCCTCACACCCCTCTCACACGAAAAGGGCGCTTATAAGAAACATGTTTCGAACAGCAACCAACGTGTGCACGGGAAGAGAGCAGAGAGAGGAGTCCCGGAACTTGGCACGGCAAATAGCCATTTCTAATGGCTACGAAACTGTACCTCAGGATAGGTGTAGAGGAAATCGTAGGCCTTCAAGCGACAACTCTAGCGATAGAAGGGTCTCGTTTATCCTACTCTTCATCTCAAATGATATAAGTACAGCTATAAAACGCTGCTTAAGAAGGGCGGGCTTAGAGAATTCGGTGAGCGTAGTTGAAATACCACCGAGTAATCTTAAGCGCCAGCTAGTTCGTAACCGCCTATATGACCGTCTATGTGCAACTCAAAATTGCATAATTTGCCCCAGTGGTAGAGACGGTGATTGCATGAGCTCGGGTATAGTTTATCTGATCTCCTGTAAGACGTGTGGTGACGAATACATTGGCGAAACGGGTAGACCCCTCTGTGTCCGCATGAAAGAACNATAATTAGCCCCAGTGGTAGAGACGGTGATTGCATGAGCTCGGGTATAGTTTATCTGATCTCCTGTAAGACGTGTGGTGACGAATACATTGGCGAAACGGGTAGACCCCTCTGTGTCCGCATGAAAGAACCTAGCCGGCAAAAATAGACCAAATGCCCCGCTAGGCACGCATAGGACCCAGAGACATAACGGGGACGACTTCGAAGTATGTGTCACGATCCTCGCACGCGAATCAAGAACGCAGGCGCGAAAAACTCTCGAGGCACTCTGGATTAATTCCAGAAATCCGAAAATGAACCGCAGGGAAGAATGCCTCATTATCACGCGNNNNTCATTATCACGCGTGATATAGGGCAGTATATAAAACTGCTTTTCTGATGTGAGGGGCACATTATACTTCCATGTGATTTCTGTGCGGTTGGTCTCTACGTGACATATTTAGTGGAAACCTCATAGAAAGCGGTGAGTGTGCAAAGCTGTGTTTAAAGTGATTGAAATCTTGGTTTGGAGTTTCTTTCTTTGTTTGGTTATAGAGGCGTCTGGCCGAATGGACTGCTATCAACTTGACCTTTCCAGGCTCTGAAGAAGGCGAAATCCGCCGAAACGTCAGCTTAATCGTGAACATAAAATAATAACACCTCGCGTTTGCTCAACAAAAATACGAAGAAAATCACTTGATCAATGCCGAGGTTAATAGAAAGTCGGTC